CTGGATGCTTGTCTCATTTTTTGTCGTTTCATTTTCCACTCTTATAATATTGTAAAGCACTGCGGAATAGCTTGTCGCTATATAAATGACAAAATAGTAATAAAAAATAAAAAAACAAGTGCAGTTTTTCTTGCCTTTCAATCCCTCTTACTAATTTAATAGCTTGCCATTTTTATAAGACAATATCTTTCTTTAAAGAGACACCCCATTGCTCAAATGCGAAAAAGAAAATCACTGTTATGTAGATATACCTCAAAACATGTGTGCAATTTTTTTGTAACTGAAGGTATATCTGAAAACATCACAATTTTAATTGATACCTTTTTTGCAAGGCAGGTTTTCTGGTCAACTGCTTCCTCTTGAGTTTAGATCCACTGCGCTAACCAAACAAGGAAATAACTGGACCAGTTGTCTGAATCACAGCCAGGTGCATGTAACAAGATGAATTTATAAAAGTGCCAAATTCTATTGAAATTTGCACTTTTTGTAAACCAAAGAGAAGACCACCACAAACACTTTAGCTTTCTGAAGATCTTTGTTTAGAGTTGTTTTTTTTTTGTTTTTTTTAAATGGGTTTAGAGTGTCCCTTGAATGCTTTACATTTTATTGCACAAAACTTCTCAACAGACCAATACACGTACCCAGCACCTGAAACTATGAGGGGGAAAAACCGCCCCACAAAGAAACCAATACACACCATAACCCAAAAGGAACAAGGCTATTATGAGATGCAACTTTTCACACATAAACCGCTTCAGCAAGCTGAAGTGCTTTAGTGGTCTGGGGTGTCCCTTTAAAACTGGTGCCTAAAATTGCTCCTCATATTTAAGAGGTTTCTTACTATTGATTTATAAAGAGGCAACTATATTTTGATCACGTGGATGCCTATTCTTGTACATTAAAGCACCTTTGTTATATTTTCATGGATAATTGCAGTGAGGTTCTGCTTTATAGTTATCTATATATAGACTTTGTTTTGTAGGTGTAATGTCAACTTTATTTGTTATAAAATACCCCTTTCCCTCATTTTGTAAAAATAGCAAATAGCAGCGTCATCACTCTCTGGTGCGCATGCACCAATCAGGGTTTTCATAGAGCGGCATTCAATGAACTGAGCGCTCTACCGCACACATGCACGTTCGCTGCCTATGCCCACCCCCCTCCTACGGCAACCCTACTAAGCCAAAAGTTTGTATGCAAACACACTATATATATATATATATATATATATATATATATATATTTATTTATTTATTTATTTATTTTTTTTTTTCTCAAAATCCAAATAGGTTATGGTGGGGAAAAATTGTGATTGAAAACCCCTTCCACCTGAAGTCTGTGGATAGTTAATACAAGGTACCTTGTATTAACTATCCACAGACTTCAGGTGGAAGGGGTTTTCAATCACAATTTTTCCCCACCATAACCTATTTGGATTTTGCTTCCCAAGCACTACCAAGCCTCAGTAAGCAAACCAGTAACCAACCTCATGTTGATGAGTTGCATTAACAAGGAAACAGTTGTCCATGAGTGGTTCACTGGTTTTGCATCTTTTCCTAAATTGTGTTCCAAGCAGTTGTATACTGCAAACACAGACTAAAAGGAATCCATGTTTAAAATGGAATGAGGCAAAAATGTGATTCTTTGTTAAACTAATTTGCATATGCCTACCCAGAATCCTTTGCGGTTGTAACATCACTGCAGATTTGGGATTTGTGTGGGAAAAGCAAGTCTTATGGCTTGACTGGTGTGCAGATTTTTGTTTAACATTGTAATATTAATAAATATATATAATATAGCGATATCTCTATAGTGTTTGTATACAAACACACATATTTTAAATAAATATTATTAAAGACATACACAAACTCCCTCTCTAATGTATTCATCCAAGTGTGAAGATGTCAAACATGATGAATGCTAATTAGGCTTTCATGAACTCGGAAGTCCCTCTGGTGGCAGTCGTAGTGACTGCAACTGGAGGTGTTCCTAACTTCAATATAAACACTATATTTTCTCAGAAATGTCATTTAAAGACCCATCACTGTGAGTATTATTACTATGGAGCTCTAAAATTCAAATTCGCAGGGGCCTGGCCGCCGACTGAGCAGGACACAGGTTTAGAGAGCTCCTCAGCCTCAATGACCTTTAAGCCGAAAAAAGTAAAATATGCCTCTTAAATCCTGCTACCACAACCTTGAGCATCCCTCAACCTGGGAGTGAATGGGTAGCCTCTTGGCTTGAAAACCTGATGCCAGAGCTTACTCTTAGAGACAAGGGCCTCCTGTGGCCTGCAACTTGCTTCTGGGTGGGAGATGAGTTCTATCTCCAGTCTCCCGGTGTCGCATCAAGCCGACCTCACTGACCTACTCTGCCACATTGAAACGCGACTGGAGGAAGTTTTCAACTGCTTTTGAACTACCTTAATGGGCGTCCTGCGCAAACCTACCACTAGTGAGAGAGCAGACACATGGCGGGACAAGGCCTGAGAGACCTCCTCCCCCAAGGGCAAACCGACCTCAAGAACAGCAGATTGTCCTACTTTATGCTTTCCTGGGCCTAAACTAGACACGATTGACACTCACACTACATTTATAAGTTATTTATAAATTGTTAGTTATATCTAATGTTGGGACACATCTGCGTACTCTGCCGATACATCACTAATTCTACCAAATGTAGCCTGTCCTACATAATCTAATGTTTGTAATATCTATGCACAACTAAAATAAAGAATAAAAAAAAAATTGGATTCACTTTTTGAATTCTCATTTAAAGGGATTCTACAGTACCAGGAAACAAACCTGTTGTCCTGGCACTATAGGGTTAATCTCCCCCCTCTCCACCTTGTTCCTCCTTTTTCGCTGGGCTGACGGGGTTAAAACCCTTTCAGCTACTTACCTGAATCCAGCGCAGATGTCCAGGTGTTGGGTCAGGCTCTGCCCACACAATGGCTGGCGCATTAGACCTCCCCATAGGAAAGCATTATTTAATGCTTTCCTGTGGGAAAATCTGACGCTGGAGGTCTGTGAGGACGTCCTGCGTAGGATGACGGACCAAAAGTCCGTTTGGATTCTGGAAGCCCTCAAACTTAGAGCTGAAATGTTTTCAATTGCAGCACTATGTGCAAAAGGGTCACAGCACCCAGACTACTTAAATTAACTAAAGTGGTCTGGGTGCCTACAGTGTGCCTTTAAGGAATAACTTTCCATTAGTTTGTGTTTTTATTTATTGGATACACTGATGTTTCTCCCTTAATAATTTCTGTCCATAACTGTGAAGTAATACAGAAATAACTGAAGATATATCACAATCATTGGAAAAACTTATTGTATTTTTGTCTTGGTAAATGCAATGTTTAATCAGATTGAACAATATTCAACATTTTTCATATAATCTTTTTAATTACAAATGTTTGAAGTCAATTGTAAATTGAACATAACGTGGCATCTCCTGTTTTGCTCAACCTTTTATTCTCATATTTTTTACGTAAATTCCTCATAACTAGAGTTGAGCGGACACCTGGATGTTCTGGGCTGGCAGGGTTCGGCCGAACTTTGAAAAAAAGTCCGGGTTCGGGATCGAACTTGACCCAGAACCCAATTGAAGCCAATAGGGACACAAACTTTTAGCCACAAAAATGCCTCCAAAAAAGTCCTGGAAAGGGCTAGATGGCTGCAAAAGGAAGTAAAATGGGGGTAAGAGTAGGACAAGTGCCCTGCAAACAAATGTGGATAGGGAAATCACTTAAAATAACATAAAAATGAAAAATACAGCTGAGCCATAAAATAGCACTAGATGGAATCTTTGATTTTAGCTTTGGAAGAACATAAATCAAAATCGAAAGCATGGCTGTCAGGAGGATCACCAGAATTATCCATTTGAGAGAGGGTTGGAGTGCAGGGTATTTCTTTCATTGTGCAAACTGAGCTCAACTCCTGATGCATGGAGAAAAGGCCTTCACAAGCTTCTGCTATTGTGTACATAGTTTATACTAAGTGACCCATAGGTTGAGGAGGTGGTGACCGTGGAGGTGTAGGTGGAAGCAGCGGTGGAGGAGGAGGAGGTAACCAACACTGTTATTTTTTTTAATTGGGGTAGCCCCCAAAATATTGGGACATAGAAAAAAAGAAACATTTGCGGCCTGCAGTTCATTTCTTGCAGGCCAAAGTTACGCTGCAGCGCAGACAGGCGAGCAGCAGCAGGTTGAGAATGCCAAAAGCACGCACAGACGGCCCGCACTTTCTGCAGCAGCTTTGATATATCTGGGTAGTTTTTCAGGAATTTCTGCACCACCAAATTCAACACATGCGCCAGGCAAGGGATGTGCGTCAAACCGGCTAGGACCAGAGCTGCTACGAGATTTCGACCATTATCGCACACAACCAGGCCGGGCTTGAGGCTCAGTGGCAACAACCACTCATCGGTCTGTTGTTCCATGCCCGTCCACAGCTCCTGCGCGGTGAGTTTGAAAACAGCCTGCTGTCGTTTCCCCCTGGCTGTGCTGAATTGGTGGTGAAGGTGTTACACTGACCAGATGAGGAGGTGGTGGAGGAGGAGGAAGAAGCTGAGTAGGAGAAGGAGGCAACAGGAGGCAAAGCTGTGTACCCAAATAAAGATTGTCAAACGTTGTATCCTGGAACTGTGTCCCATCCGGTTACTGTGGAAATGGGTCTGACCTATTCTAATCAAAGGGGATAACCATCGGTTACCCAGGTCCCATTTCAATTGGTGGCAAGCGGCGTGATCCCATGTCCCTGCCAACAGACCCATGGACTACAGTGCTCTAAAGCGACCTACACTGCAGAACTTGTGTGGAGCCAGAGGAATAACGCCTGATGGGCGTAACAAGGCTGAATTGACTACTGCGCTAATGGAGGAAGACTAGGCACGCAGTGAGGCAACAAACCACAGCCAGGGGCCGGAGATGAGGAGGAAGTGCGCAAGGAGGTGTAACGGCGCCTGGCGTATTACCGAGAGCCACCCTCCGAGGAGATTGTCAGCAGGACCTTTTTGGAGGTGCAAGCCTATGTCCTTGCCAATAGACAGAGGGCACCTCCATGAATCCAGATGAAGGGAGCAGAGGGCGTCGGGAAGCACAACCACCCTGGCCCACAAGCTACCATACAATGCCTTCAAAGAGTTCAAGGAAGCAGAAGAAGGCATCGATTACTTTTTACAAGACTTTGAGGGCCAGTGCTTACTCCAAGACGTGGACCCCAGTGACTGGGTCGCCATTCTGGCCAGCAAACTAGTGGGGAAGGCAGCGGATATTTACCGGGCTGTACCAGAAGAGCAGATCAGAGACTATCCCTTTATTACCCAAATCCTCCTGGCCTGGTATGCGGTCACCCCCGAGCAATACCGCCGAAAGTTTAGGGAGACCCGGAAAGGGCAGAAGGACTCCCATGCGGAGTGGGCATGCCGCATCACAAGGGGCCACCCATAACTGGCTCAACTCACATGAAGCCAAGTTCCCGGGGGAGATTACTCAGCTTGTCATGCTAGAGCACTTTTTCAATGGGCTCCCCAATGACAAGGCGACGACGCATTCGTATGTCATCCATATCAACTTTCGATGCCATTTACTGCGCCTACCATGGTGACCATGGGTAACGGGGAATCAGGGTTCGATTCTGGAGAGGGAGCCTGAGAAACGGCTACTACATGCAAGGAAGGCAGCGGGCGCGACCCACTCCAAACGCAGAAAAGTAGTGATGACAAATAACAATACAGGACTCTTTAGAGGCCCTGTAATTGTAATGAGTCCACTTGAAATCCTTTAACTCTGATCAATTGGAGGGCAAGTCTTGTGTAGAGCGACTGACCCATGCGTGCTGCAGCTGAAACTCCACTATCGCCTGCTGCTGCTCGCACAGTTTCTCCAGCATGTGCAAGGTGGAGTTCCACCTTGTGGGTACGTCGCATAGTGGAGTTTCAGCTGCAGCACGCAAGATAAAGGATTTTTTTAAATTTGATCATTTTGCATTGGGTTATGAGTAGAGTTGAGCGAACCCGAACCGCAAAGTTCAGGTTCGTACCGAACATTATGTTTTTTCGGGTCCGGGGTCCAAAAATCCTTTATCATGGGTGCTGCAGCTGAAACTCCACTATTGCCTGCTGCTGCTCGCACAGTTTCTCCAGCATGTGCAAGGTGGAGTTCCACCTTGTGGGCATGTCGCATATAAGGCGGTGAGCGGGAAGGCCAAAGTTACGCTACAGCGCACAAAGGCGAGCAGCAGCAGGGTGACCGCACCAAAAGTGTGCACAGCCGCTACAGTGAATGTCACATCCTGTTCCAAGTTGCGGATCGGTCTGGTGATGGCTTCTGGTATCCAGTACTCTTTTTACTGAAGTTGCATCAGGGTCCTGGTATGTGGCCGCACAAACGCTGGTGCTCAACACCAGGGGGCATGCGGTTTCCCTGCACCAGACCCTGCTAATCCACACTGTAACTCCTAACTTCAACATCAGGCATACTGGGTCCCGATGGTCCGACCGCCGCCCAGTGTCTGGGTCCCGGTCACCGGAATGCAAAACTGGAAATGGTTCGTTAAATCTGTTATGGTTCTTTTTATCGCTTCAACTGTTACTTGTATAACTGTGTCACAGCACTATTTGACGGTTCTATTTGACTCTCTGGTATGAAGAGCATGCCCCAAATTTACTATTTAGCAGATTAGCACCCAGAAAATAAGAATGTTTACAATTGCACTGTAACCGCAGTATTTGACGCTTCTATTTGACTCTCAGATATGAAGTGCACCCCACTAATGTACTTTTTAGCAGATTAGCACCCAGAAAATGAGAATGTTTACAATTGCGCAGTATTTGACGCTTCTATTTGACTCTCAGATATGAAATGCACCCCATTAATGTACTAGTTTGCAGAATTCTTTCCTAATCTGTCCCTAACAGCTGCTGCATCCTCTCCCTGCACTAATAAGAGCTCATGTGCGTGCGGCGCTACGCAACTCCAGCTTCTATATAGAGGCTGGGTCACATGCTGCACTGGCCAATCACAGCCATGCCATTAGTAGGCATCGCTGTGATGGCTTCTAAGAGCAAACAAGTCAAACGCTTGTTGATTGGCTGCCCTGCAGCCTTTAAAAACGCGCCATTAAATCACTGAACACTGAACTCCAACCCGAACATACAGTGATATGTCTGTGTTCGGGTCCGGGGTCCAAAAAACGTAATGTTTGGTACGAACCTGAACTTTGCGGTTTGGGTTCGCTCAACTCTACTCATAACCCAATGCAAAATGATCAAATTTAAAAAATCCTTTATCTTTATATAGGCTGGCAGATGTAAGCTGAAACACATAATGCCTCTTAAAGAAACCTCCCCAACTCCAGAAATACATTCAGTATTCAAATGAGATGGAATAGTAATAGTTTGAACACTAAAATTGTTAGAAGATTGCAGTAAAACATGCTTAATTAAATTGTTACTCTGAGAAACCGAACCTGTTTTAGCAGACAAATGTGAATGTATTAACTGTGCTGCATTAGCCCTTTCATTTCACTTACTAGCATCACCAGATGTCAGCGATTAGAAACCTTTGTCTGTTCTATTTGCTAACGTAAGGACGGAATATAATAATTCTCTCTTTTTTTTGTTTTTTTCCCTTTCTCCTGGAATTACCTTGGTATATATTCTTTAAAAATGAAAGCTGAAACAAAGTGAAACTAATTAATCCAGATTATTTAGCAGTTAAATAATCTTACCCTTGATAGAAACGCAGAGTGCCATGGTCAGCTGTCATAGCGTTAAACTTGATGTTGCAAAGCTCTTCTTTAGCGTCTATTATACATTGTTTCTCATTTTTATTGTCTTGTTCAATTCTATCTTCATCTTGCTCCTTTATGGACCTCTTTAGTACTGCATTCAATTTCCTCAAACCGCTAAAATTTGGGTAAAACTGTTTGGACTGGCCCTCATTTCTTTCTCAAAAGGTGCTCTCTGTCAGTTAAAGAAATACTCCCAGCACCATAACTACTACAGTCATCTGTAGTGGTCATGGTGTCAAGAGTGCCTTAAAGTAATCCCAGGATAAGATATTACACCACTTTAGTACGTTTTGACAATTTACCTGGGTCTCACTGGGCATCTGCGGGCTCATCTCCTTCATCCAATCTTGTTCAGCAAAAGCTGAAGGTTAAGGAAGTTTTTAGTGTTTTTGCCAATGATGTACGGCAGGTTGCTTCCACACTGTCATTCTCTGAAGTTCTGCCTGTGCATAACACTCAGAACGACAGGCGGATGCGTATTAGGGACTTTAATTTGTGGCTTGGTGAATGGTGTCGGGAGCAAGGATTTTGCTTTATTTCTCATGGTAGCTCTGTTTGAAATGGAAATAAGCTGTACAAAAAAGATGGTTTGCATCTTTCTCAAAAGGGAACAAATGTTCTCAGTGAGCAGTTCAGAGGTTTTGCTAGGATGTATTTAAACTAGGAGGGGGGGGCAAAAGGGTGATAAAACATCAATCCAATTGTCCCCCAAAACAAGGACAGAAGGTGCCTGTAGCAAGTGTGTTAAAAAATGATAAGCTTAGAGTCATGTCTACAAATGCTCGCAGTTTAGGGAAAAAGATCCATGAACTTGTGGCAATAATGGCAACTGATAGTGTAGATTTAGTCGCTGTTACTGAGACATGGTATAATGAGAAAAATGACTGGGACATAGCAATACCAGGGTACTCTTTATATAGAAAAGATAGGGAAGGCAAGAAAGGGGGAGAGGTGGCCCTGTATGTGAAGGATAGCATAAAATCTAGCCTAATAAAAGTTAGTGAGGCAAACATAGAGTCCATTTGGGTTACGTTAGAATTTGGTAATCACACAGTAACTCGTGTAGGTGTGATTTATAGGCCCCCAGGACAAATTGAAGAGTTAGATAATCTACTAGTTGAGGAAATAGCTAAAATGACAATGAAGGGGGAAGTTATCATCATGGGTGACTTTAATATTCCTGATGTAAATTGGAAAACAAAATTAGTTACTTGTGCCAGGAGCACACATATTCTAAGCCAACTCGCAAAGAAGCCATACTAGATTTAGTGTTAACAAATGGAGATTTGGTATCAGATATTACTGTAGGCGAAAGTTTAGGATCCAGTGATCATCAGTCAGTGTGGTTTAATATAAGAACAGTGACCGAGTCACACCACACAAAAACAAAAGTTTTAGACTTTAGAAAAACAGACTTTTCTAAAATTAGAATATGTGTAGAGGAGTCATTATCAGACTGGAGTAATTTAAATGGAGTCCAAGAGAAATGGGATAATTTAAAAGCTGCACTATTGAAGCCAACAGAAAATTGCATTAGGCTTGTCAGTAAAAGCAAAAAATTCAAGAAACCACTGTGCTACTCCGCAGATGTGGCCAGAATAGTTAAAAACAAAAAGTTAGCATTTAGGAATTATAAAAAAAAAACCAGAGTGAGGAAGACAAAATGATCTATAAGATTAGGCAGAAAGAGGCTAAGCAAGTTATAAGAACTTCCAAATCACACACAGAAGAGAAAATAGCACTGTCAATAAAAAAGGGGGACAAAACATTTTTTAGATATATAAATGAGAAAAGAAAATTAAAACAAGGATTAGTTAGATTAAAAACAAAAGAAGGAAGGTATGTAGAAGAGGATAAAGGTCTAGCTGACTGCCTCAATGAATATTTTTGTTCTGTATTTACAGATGAAAATGAAGGAAAGGGACCTCAGTTAAGAAAAAGGATAAATGAGTAATTTATTACACGTGAGTTTACAGAGGAAGAGGTTCTATTTCAACTGTCAAAAGTAAAGACAAATAAGTCAATGGGACCTGATGGAATAGCAAAAGTGCACATAGTAAATACAATGACTGTGTCAAAAGAGATCTTTTCATTCAAGCCTCTTGGCCACACTGTGTCTAATGTCCTTATCCAAAAGGTTTCCCGTTGGAGGAGGGCTTTTTTACGGTCATCTCCCTGTAGTGGGGGCAGGATGCGATCAATGGCTGTAAATTTAAGAGAAGGCAAGGGATGTCCCATTGCCAAAAAGTGCTTAGTCACTGGGAGGTCAGCTTAGTTGTCCCTATAAGCGACGATAATGTTCGACCGGTGATTCCTAATGCTTCCTCGTAAGGGAAGATCCGTCTTCCCAATATACGATAGTTCATGGGGCACTAAAGTTTATAAATCACAAAATCGGTTTGAACAAGCTGGGGGACTAGCAACTCAAGCTCAATCCCTCCAGTATACTGATGAGGACGCAACCAGGATAAGATGGGACACCACCACTATTGACTTACCCAACATTACATCCATGACAGACGTCTATCATGAATTATTACGTCTAAAAAAAAAAGGGAAACTGATTTAGATCTGCATGGACTGTTTTTGTCAGATTATCATCGCAAGTTACAAATCCCACGTGGTTTTCGGGTGAGAAATATACCTACCATTGGTCGCCAGAAACCTAAGGTTTGCAAGAAGTGGATAGCAGTCCTTAACAAGTGTTCCCTGGATTTAATGCTGGTTATCATCGAGGACGTTAAAGAGGATTTGACAGCAGTCAGGAAACGTATAGCAGAGCTTGAAACAAAACAAGCTTTACTTCTTTCAGCCATAGAAGCAGTACCCACTATTTTGAAATTGGAACAAAAACTAAAAGTGTATAAAACTGATCTTATCTGCTTTAAATGTGACAAACAAGCTAAAGTAGAGGGTGACTACAAAGAACATCGAGTCTATAAGTGGCTTGCAGGTCAGAGTGAGAGACAGTTTCCATACAGACGTAGGAAACCCACCAGGAAACCTAGGCAGTTTACTATTGATCAGACCTCAGGTAACTCATCTTCATCACCAGTCAAGACCCAGAGCACCTGAACATACGGACTCTGCCTCTTTTTTAGAACTAGACCCAGGGACATCATCTCGGATACATTCGAGGCCGACTTCACGACTAGAAGCCAAAGGCATTACACCAGGCGTGGGCAGAAAGGGAGACCCCGTGGGGACAAGGTACAAACCTCCCCGTCCACCCAAATGATTCCTATCTTTAATTTGTCATCGAGGACCCTGAGTCAGGAAGAGCAACATCTCCTCATGAAAGGAGCATCCTTTGTCCCTACCAACCTTCCTAATTCATTTAACTATGAGGTTGAGTTGTATAAGTTTGGGAGGAACTTCCACCTCAAAGAATTTTTTAAAGGGTCCCCCACTACAGTGACACAGCCCAGCCAACAGTTTAAAGTCAAAAGCACATTTGACCCTATGAATTCCCATGCTTCTATCAAAACCTTTTTGAGGAATGTTCAATTTGAGATGAACAAACTAACTAATGCTAAACAGAGTCACCAGTCTAACATTACTAAAAAGGAGAGGGAAATCATTCGGCTTTTGGCCAATGACGAGACTATAGTCATTAGACCTGCTGACAAGGGAGGGGATATAGTAATTCTTGATTACTCTTACTATAGAAGAGAACTGCTGTCTCAGCTGGAAGAATCCCACACGTAGGACCGATTACCTTCTGATCCTACTGCAGTGATTACACATCTACTATCTACTATCCTGCAACAGGGATTGGAGGCGGGCTATATCAATGAGGATCTTTTTAAATTTCTGATTCAACAAACACCAAGAACCCCGATTATCTATACTCTTCCTAAAGTGCACAAAAATCTCATTCACCCCCCCGGGAGACCTATCGTGTCAGCTATAGGTGGTGTAATAGAACCCATTGCCAAGTGGTTAGACTTTTTATTTAAAGAGTCTATTGTGAACATCCCCACCTGTCTCAAAGACACAGCGGATTTGTTCAACCAGCTTGATTGCATTACCCTTCCAGAGGCCCAAGTCATCTTGGCAACATGTGACGTCAAGGCTGGCGTCATGGCCATGCGAACCACCCTAAGCAATTCCACGGTATATCATGGCCCGCCTATCGAGTTTGTCCATGAGTTACTTAAATTGGTACTCACACTCAATTATTTCCGTTTTGAACACTCTGGGTTTCAACAGATCTCAGGCACCTCGATGGGTGCTGCGATGGCACCGAACTATGCCAATAGCTATATGTTTCAGTTTGAACAAGAACATATTTTGAAACCCTACTCTGATAATATTCTTCTCTACAGACGCTTCATTGATGATTTGTTCTTCATCTGGAAGGGGGATATCAACTCCATCACTACAGCGATAAATCAACGAGATGGAAACACCAGTTAAGCTCACTCTTGTTGCAAGCTCTGATGGGGTTGATTTCCTAGATGTGCATGTACAGACAGGAGCAGCATCTGTCTTACAGTTTTTACACTAAGCCGTCCTATCGTAACACCTTGCTGCACGCAGAGAGCTTTCATCCTAGGCATCTCAAATCCTCACTTCCCTACTCCCAGTTCCTGTGGGTACTCAGGAACAACTCTGATTCTCTGAACGCTCAGACACAGATAAAAGACATGTGGAATAAATTCAAGGAAAGAGGCTACAATGAAGTTACACTGCAGAAAGCATGGGAGAGATGTCAGTCTGATAGTGTTAAGGATACACGCAACTTGCACGCAACCAACTGATTTTCACCAACCACCCATGATGTGCTATAGGAGAGGTAGATCTTCTTGTGAAGACTGACCCCAGACACTACTATACTACTAAACAATAGACTGCGAACCTGGGCTGCTATCGGTGTCTGGGTTGTGTTATGTGTGGCCACATGATCCCGGGCAAGATCTTTCTGCACCCCCACATGGGCAAGAAATACACTATACACCATCAGTTGACATGTACAACCGATTTTTGTGATTTATAAACTTCAGTGCCCCTGTGGACTATCGAATATTGGGAAGACGGATCTTCCCTTACGAGAAAGAATTGGGAATCACCGGTCGAACATAAGAGTTGCTTATAGGGACAACAAAGCTGACCTCCCAGTGGCTAAGCACTTTTTGGCAATGGGACATCCTTTGCCTTCTCTTAAATTTACAGCCATTGATCACATCCCGCCCCCACTACGGGGAGGTGACCGTAAAAAAGCCCTCCTCCAACAGGAAACCTTTTGGATAAGGACATTAGACACAGTGTGGCCAAGAGGCTTGAATGAAAAGATCTCTTTTTCTATGTTTCTTTAATATGTTACTTTTCAGTTTTTTGAAGATTTGATCTAGGTGTTAATCCCCTTAAATTGTCTATTGTGGTCCAACGGCTATTTTGAACCATATGTATTCGATGATATTTCTCATTGTCTTTTCATGAATGTACTTTAGTCTCACTCAGTTATTTTTTATTTATTTCTTTAATTTTTTTGCTCTAGGTATCTTGTTTTCTTCAGATGGTAAGGACTACTTTTGACACCGCCATTATATTTACTATGTGTACTTTTGCTTTTGCTTTCCATCTATTGCTGTCCCTTCTCTGCCAATAGGGATTTTGCTATCATGTATTATATCTCTGTTCTGCTAGACTTCTTGTGATGTGGGTATAGCTTGTAGTATGGATACAATGTGCTACATTTCTAATTGAAATATCTGTGTCTCTTATGACATCCCCATTTGTTTTGTTAAAATTATGAATTACACTCCTCACTTTGTTTTTATCCTTCTCATACCCTCATTGTGTGTTTGGAGTCCGTGCATACAGAGTTTGGACTTGACATTTTGCCTCTCTATTTGCAGGCAAATAGGGTGTATATCGGCAAGTATATAAAAAGTAATTTTTCCCAAAACCTTAGCAATGTTGAGCTCCAGTTTGTATTGAGCCATATTCAAGGGGTTAATTTTATGTTGTAACAGGAAATAGCCACAATGCTTGGCTTGCCTTTTCTTTATATGTTAGTACATCCCTCTGGATGTGTATTTCATTTTTTTCCCCCCTGTGCAGTGTGCTGTGTTTATGTGCTTTCAGTCTATATTTACACGTGCTTGACAGTATGACATGAATTTTCGGCTGCTGATCTTGTGTGCGTTCCAGATGTTGCTTAGCAACAGTTTGGAACGCTGTGTCTAATTACTCTGGGTGCCTCTGTCTGCTCGGCACTCCCACTTGCAGGCTGAACGCGGCTGCTGGACTCCACACACGAGGCTGGTGTTTTATTATGTATATATGAGCTTGAATCATGTTGTCTGTGTTTTTACCATCCTGATGAAAGCCCTGAAACGTTGATTTGATTTATTTTGAACATTAAAAGTTAAGTTTTAGTGATATTTACGGCCATTCTCTGTTTTTCTATTATATCTATATAATATGTATATATATCTTATATATATATAATATACGAAGTTAATTTTTGTATTAATATACAAATATACATAAATATATAGAAATATATTATTATATCTAAACTCAGGACAAAATTTAGAAACTATTTAGCATGGGTGTATTTTGGTGGTTGGAGATGCGCATCAGATTTTGGAGGTCAAAGTTAGAAAAAGTGTGTTTTTAAAAAAATATTTCATCATATTTTATAAAAAAATTTTATAGTAAATTATATCATATGAAATTAATGGTACCTTTAGAAACTGCATATAAAATGTGTAAATGAGTAAGAGGAAAATTACAGCCTAAACACAAACACAGCAGAAATGTAAAAACAGCCCTGGTCCTTAACAGTAAGAAAATTGAAAAACGGTCTGGTCACTAAGGGGTTAAAAAGATGCTAGTACTTTGCATGCTCTGCTTTCACACTGCATGCACAAGAATCAGTCAGAATGTTAACATAAAAAAGAGTGCACCAATCAGAACCCTCTCATTCTGGCCTTCTGGATTTTTTCATATCCCATAACTGAGTCTTCATGTATTAGCTATGTACAGATAGCTCTTTTGAAACACTGTTATATGAAGACAACATTGCATGCATGGTCGGACTACTTTTCACGAGGATACAACATAGGATGTCTTTATTATTGCAATAAAACTTTATCTTTAGGACAGACTGAGGCTCACATGACAAGCAAGCTTTCCTAAATAAGTTTATTTTCCTTTGCTGTCTGTAGTTTGGCTGACACCCTTTATTATGTTGCTATAGATAATTGCCAAGAATAGGAAATTACAGTAAGTATTAAACCAGTTTGTTGCTGTTTCTGTCTGTTCTGTAATCATGTCTGGTTTTACTGTCTGTGTTAGCTGCAGTTTGTCTCTGTATTCTTTTACAGTTTGACTCTGCATTCTTTTGCTCGGTGACTATGGGATTCTCTGTGTGTCTTAATGATGTCACAATGTTCTTAGAGCCACCATTCTTAGTCTGTGCAGTCAACTGCATCTAGATGTAGGCACACCGAAAGCATGAGGTTGGACCTGTTTTTTCGCATTATGAATGCTTTCTTCTTCGTATCTGGAAGTCATGGAAGTAAGTGTATTTGGGAAACAGAGTGCTTTAATTTTCGCTTTATTATCACAAGATCAAAATCTTTTGGTTTTTTTCAGGTTTTCTGACCTAACGTTTTGTAAGCAAGGCTTGTACACAGTAATTCAACACTGGTAAAAGCATTTCCAAAGTTCAATAAATTGTCTGTCTATCTGTCTGTCTATCTATTTTTAGTTGCGTGTTCTGTCGCCAACATTCTCAGCATATTGCCGACAGATGACCAGTATGCAAAGATTTAACATTAGCTAGCATAGAACTATTGTTCTGGCTGTTTAATGGCACTGACAAAGGTGGAGTTATACCTCCAGCAGCAAGTGGCTTTACCTTTGAATGTGCATGAGACCTGAGGTTGGTTCAAACTGCATTTAATTCGGATTTGACTGAATGGGTGTTGATTTGAATGGAAAGTCTTTGCCATACGATCCATGATTCTGAAGGTTCGGTGTAAGACCCGCTTAGGGGGATCCGCCTTGATGTTGGCAGGCGAGCATTCCCTCCAGTGGCCATTGGAGTAACTAAATGACCTCCATTTGTTTAAATATACATAGGGATTAAGGAGAGAAAGCAGGTACAAAAAAAATTTCCTTTGGTTTTTACTATATATATATATATATATATTGGGGCTCATAGGAGTGAGCGCAGGACTTATCTTTTTGTATTTATATTCACTTTTTGTATCACACAGCTTTGTTACAAAGCTGCCGCCCAGATTTTATTCTGTTCCTGGGATCTGAGCACTGTTCGTATATATTGAGCGCTCCGATCCAAGTTATCTGGGGATAGGTTGAATATGGGGGTCCTGTTCAGTGTAATGGAAATTATGTATTTTTGTGTATTTCTATGGAGATATTTTCTGTACCTGGAAATAATTGGCTAACCACACCCAGTTAAGCCAATTATCTCCAAGATAGAGGAGAAGATAGACCGGCTGCACAGCCTAACTCTGTGGAACTGGTTTGGGGCAGGAAAGCCATGCTCGCAGTTGGTCATAAAGGACTTTCATCTAACTTTTGAACCACTAGATCAATTTTTATGAATTTGACATATGTTTGTATACTGTGTATGCTGATTCATAATATGTATGTGAATGTGATGTATACTTTTAAAGTTATGAATATTGTGTAAAACTGTGTATTTTCCTGCCTGTGATATTTACATTAGCCCATTGTGTACAGTAATTCTATCACAGGCAGAGGGGAGGATTTTGCTGGAATGAATGGGAGTGTTTGACTGTATTGTAATGTTTTGATTGGTTGTTCCACAAGACCACATGGGTAGTAACTTTGAGGGAAAATTTGCATATAAGTGCCAATAAACCCTCAGACTGCTGAGTTCCTGTTTTACCCTCAACATAGAGCCTCGTCTCATGTGTGGGGGAAAAGGCTGCATTTACACTGGGGATTGCTATACACTGTGTACTCCCTTGGCTATAATCACTAAGCTCTTTTAAGAGCTTGTTCCAGCTTCGCTCTCTGCAGGAAGAGAGGTTCGGTCTGCAGTGCTGATGGTGTCAAGTGGAGTGCTTGGAGTCCTCAGGAAGCACTAGGAGCATCCATCAACGGAGGTACTTGGTTGGAGTACTTGGAGCTCCGTTACACCATGTGTTCCCTATTAAGGTTAATAAGTATAGAGGGGGGAATATAAAAAATATCCCTCTCTGTCTCAGTGGAGATATATTTGCCAGAAGCTCAAGGAAGCAAGGTGAAGGGTCAGTGTAGGACCCGCTTAAGGGGGTCTGCCTTGACGTTGGCAGGCGGGCATTCCCTCCAGTGGCCACTGGAGTAAGTAAATGACCTCCATTTGTTTAAATATACATAGGGATTAAGGAGAGAGCGCAGGTAACTTTTTTTTCCTTTGGTTTTTACTATACTTATTGGGGCTGATGTGTACTGTGGTCGTTGCTGCCACCAAGGAGTGATGGGAATGAGCGCAGGACTTATCTTTTTGTATCTGAAAGAATTAATGCCAACTACTTTCATTGTATTGTAGCCTGTGGAAAACGACCTCTGGCTGCGGACTATGGTGGCTCTCGGGTAGTTGGGGGTAAGGACGCACAACCTGGAAACTGGCCATGGACGGTCAGTATCCAGGAACCTGATGAAGATGGTTACAATCACTTATGTGGAGGCGTTCTTCTGAATGACATATGGGTTATGACAGCTGCTCATTGCTTCAAAGATCGGGGCAGGTAATTTCAACATTTGGAGTTTTGTGCTGAATAGTGTAAACATACACACAGATCATTTTAGAAGGATATTGCAAAGTATAATTATCTGTATGAATTTCAGATAATACCCGAGTTACACTTTGAGATTGTTAACCCTCTACATTCTGTATGGCTAATGCATCCTATGTGTCCAAAGACTTTCTACTCGGTATGAATAGTTAAAAGACAGATTTTGATGGAGAAATTTGAAATACACTAGTCTGATATGATAACTAAATTAGTTGGACAAGGAGGATTATGTTTCCCTTACAATACACATATCTTGCATGCCTCCTCAAGTGAATAACTCCCTAGCCTCCCTTTTTATGAGGATTTTTGGTTTTAAATCCCTCAGTCCTTCTTTTTTATTCTAATGTTCCTATTATATAGGAGTATAAAATGTTGGTGTGTATTGATGTGTAAGAGATTTACATCAGTAAATCATTAATACTCACTTATGTGATTAAACTACTATAAATGTATTTAGAAATTAATCAGTGGAAATGCAATATTTTAGATTTTGTTATAAATTAAATTTATACATTAGTATGTCACGTGGGTCACCTCAAATGCCCATGAATAGCCCCTCCTATTATTCAAAGCTCCTGCTGCACTCCATTATTAAAAGCTCCAGCTGCACTCCCTAAAATTACAGGGAGTGCAGAATTATTAGGCAAATGAGTATTTTGACCACATCATCCTCTTTATGCATGTTGTCTTACTCCAAGCTGTATAGGCTCGAAAGCCTACTACCAATTAGGCATATTAGGTGATGTGCATCTCTGTAATGAGAAGGGGTGTGGTCTAATGACATCAACACCCTATATCAGGTGTGCATAATTATTAGGCAACTTCCTTTCCTTTGGCAAAATGGGTCAAAAGAAGGACTTGACAGGCTCAGAAAAGTCAAAAATAGTAAGATATCTTGCAGAGGGATGCAGCACTTTTAAAATTGCAAAGCTTCTGAAGCGTGATCATCGAACAATCAAGCGTTTCATTCAAAATAGTCAACAGGGTCACAAGAAGCGTGTGGAAAAACCAAGGCGCAAAATAACTGCCCATGAACTGAGAAAAGTCAAGCGTGCAGCTGCCACAATGCCACTTGCCACCAGTTTGGCCATATTTCAGAGCTGTAACATCACTGGAGTGCCCAAAAGCACAAGGTGTGCAATACTGAGAGACATGGCCAAGGTAAGAAAGGCTGAAAGACGACCACCACCGAACAAGACACACAAGCTGAAACGTCAAGACTGGGCCAAGAAATATCTCAAGACTGATTTTTCTAAGGTTTTATGGACTGATGAAATGAGAGTGAGTCTTGATGGGCCAGATGGATGGGCCCGTGGCTGGATTGGTAAAGGGCAGAGAGCTCCAGTCCGACTCAGACGCCAGCAAGGTGGAGGTGGAGTACTGGTTTGGGCTGGTATCAAAGATGAGCTTGTGGGGCCTTTTCGGGTTGAGGATGGAGTCAAGCTCAACTCCCAGTCCTACTGCCAGTTCCTGGAAGACACCTTCTTCAAGCAGTGGTACAGGAAGAAGTCTGCATCCTTCAAGAAAACATGATTTTCATGCAGGACAATGCTCCATCACACGCGTCCAAGTACTCCACAGCGTGGCTGGCAAGAAAGGGTATAAAAGAAGAAAATCTAATGACATGGCCTCCTTGTTCACCTGATCTGAACCCCGTTGAGAACCTGTGGCCCATCATCAAATGTGAGATTTACAAGGAGGGGAAACAGTACACCTCTCTGAACAGTGTCTGGGAGGCTGTGGTTGCTGCTGCACGCAATGTTGATGGTGAACAGATCAAAACACTGACAGAATCCATGGATGGCAGGCTTTTTGAGTGTCCTTGCAAAGAAAGGTGGCTATATTGGTCACTGATTTGTTTTTGTTTTGTTTTTGAATGTCAGAAATGTATATTTGTGAATGTTGAGATGTTATATTGGTTTCACTGGTAATAATAAATAATTGAAATGGGTATATATTTGTTTTTTGTTAAGTTGCCTAATAATTATGCACAGTAATAGTCACCTGCACACACAGATATCCCCCTAACATAGCTAAAACTAAAAACAAACTAAAACTACTTCCAAAAATATTCAGCTTTGATATTAATGAGTTTTTTGGGTTCATTGAGAACATGGTTGTTGTTCAATAATAAAATTAATCCTCAAAAATACAACTTGCCTAATAATTCTGCACTCCCTGTAAAGTATACCTCATTATCCATTTTCCCTATTTTGTTTTACATGCAAAGCTCTTAACAAGATAATATTTTATAATAATTCTAAGATGCATTCGGAAAGACTCTCAAACATTCAACACAAATGTCATTTTCCAAATGCAAATGTATTTTTTGGTACGTTCTATATATATATATATATATATATATATTTATAATTTCACATTCTTTATATGTAGAATAAAGAAATGTAAAACGTGATGCCTTTTGCATACATAACGGTACAACATCTGTTGCTTATGCTTCTTTTATGTCTTTGTTTATTCCTAATTTGTTGTTCATTTGCACCATATGTCTAATACTGCATACTTTGGTTTATTCAGTGACTTCTTCTCTTGGAGACTTGTGCTTGGTGCAACACAGCTTTCCAAGTTAGGACCCGAAGTTCAGATCCGTGGAATAAAAGAAAAGATTGTGCATGAACAATATTACAAGGAAACTCAGAAAAACGATATTGCGCTATTAATGCTCAACGAGAGCGTTGAGTTTGATGATTACATTCAGCCGGCATGTCTTCCTGCAAAAACTGCTAACCTCTACCAAATGACCGAATGCTATATTGCAGGTTGGGGTGTCACCGAAGAAGAATGTAAGCCTCAATTCTTTCTTGTTTTAGTTATTTATTTTGCACATACATATCTGTGATGAATTTGAATGTCCCTAGATCACTGGGACAGCCTGATTCAATTATATTTGATCTGGTCTACTTCCAATGACATAGTAATCCAGATGTTTCATTATCTAACGCACCATTCTGCATGAAATGCAGCTTAATTGTATGCTTTGTAATTAATGTTATTTTTTTCCAATAACTATATTATGAGAGAGGACCTAAGAAAGCAGAAATAGCATGATTATTATTATCATGCTTTATTTGTACATTAGTACAATTGGTACAAGTAAAAAGACAAATGTACAATTCATCTGAGACAATACAAAATTTGACAAATATAGGAGGAGTTGAAAATTTAATTCTGCTGTGAATGGGAATCCAGTGAAGGGACTCACAGAGAGGTGCAGGAGATTCGGAATGGTGGGTAAAGTGGATTAGCCTGGCAGAGGCATTGAGGATGGTCTGAAGGGGGAGAGGTGGGAGAGATGAAGGCCAGTTAGTTAACTTGGACGCCACCAAAATATTTGTTTCAACCGAATACTTTCAGATGAAAAATTATTTAATTGGCCTGAAAGTAATGTCAGCCATTAATTCATTTTTGTTTGAAATTGTTCTATTATTTTTGTTCCGGGAACTCACTTTAGACAAATGGTGTGATGGTCTGCCAAAGTATCACTGTCACGGATACCCCTTTTCCAAGAGAAACAGCAAATAATTTCCACAGGCAAAATATCACTGGCAAAGAATAACCCCCCACACATGAGCTGAGGCTTAATGCTGGGTGAAGACTGATTTTAATGGTAGTACAGGCATCAAATTTATACAGTGCATAAACTCCTCCTCTGTGACTGAGAGATAATTGAGTCAGTAAATATACTAAACTCAATTATCTTCAAGTACAGAAAAATGCACAATTTTGCAACACCTCAAAAGTATCCCCAAAATACAGGGAAATCCCACAAAAGTCATGTCCCTGGATAGCCTGGACGAACAATATATCCAAACATCACCCAGATCCGTTTGGTAGTTTTGAATCGCCATCGCAAGGAATTTCTGACCAGTCTGCTACGAGGAGTAATCCCAAAATAGTTCCATAGAAGTGGTGTCAAGAGCTGGTCTCCATTCGTGGGGTTTTGTACGGAAACCACATAAGATTGAGGAAAACTGGTTCATGTAGAGTGCTTCCCATGTTCGTCAGTCTGTAACTCCCGAACGCCGTTCGTATAGGTGAACTTGAACTGGAATGGGAGTTCGTGGGAGTGCCTGGCCAAAATTTGTTCCAGGCACTCGATGACCAAGTCCCAGTGCCAGCGTTCAGGACACAAGATGGCCGCCATCCATTGTTTCAGCCACACGCGTTCGTATGTACGAAATGGTGGCCACCCAGTGAAGCATTCTATTAATGATTTCCTTTGCAGTTTTTGTACAGATACATAACGTTCCATGTTCTAATTGGTTTCCGGGTTGGTCTCGGTTCGGGAACTGAACAAAATAAACAAAAGGATTTAAAAGTGATGGGGATATTCCTTCACAAATGGAATTTCACAAACCGAATTGAACAGTCAATCACTGTCACAACGAAAAATCTCTCTATTCTTCTTGTATACTATCTATCTATCTGTGTTCAGGGCATAAAAAGCCGTAATGACAGTATATAACTTATATACCTTATATACTCGAGTATAAGCCGACCCGAATATAAGTTGAGGCCCCTAATTTTACCACAAAAAACTGGGAAAACTTATTGACTCGAGTATAAGCCTAGGGTGGGAAACGCAGCAGCTACTGGTAAATTTCTAAATAAAATTAGATCCCAATAAAATTACATTAATTGAATATTTATTTACAGTGTTTGTATAGAATGAATGCAGAGTGTGTGTTTGTGTGTGTATATAATGAATGCAGTGTGTGGTTGTGTGTGTATATAATGAATGCAGAGTGTGTGTTTGTGTGTTGTGTGTGTGTATATAATGAATGCAGAGTGTGTGTTGTGTGTGTGTATATAATGAATGCAGAATGTGTGTTGGTGTGTGTATATAATGAATGCAGAGTGTGTGTTTGTGTGTGTATATATAGTGAATGCAGTGTGTGTGTTTGTGTGTTGTTTGTGTGTATATAATGAATGCAGTGTGTATATAATGCAGTGTGTGTGTTTGTGCAGTGTGTGTAAACTGGGTGAGGGGAGGGCATTTTTATTTTAATTTTTTTACTTTAATATTATATTATTTTAATAATATTATTTTATTATTATATTATTATTTTAATATTATATTATTTTAATAATATTATTATTATTTTAAAATTTGCATTTTTTTTTAAAATGGTTTTTTGAACCCCCTCCCTGCTTGTTGCCTGGTCATTTAAAAAAAATAATGCAAATATTAAAATAATAATAATATAATAATATAATATTATTAAAATAATGCAAATATTAAAATAATAATAATATAATAATAAAATATTATTAAAATAATATAATATTAAAATAATATAATAATATTATAATAATAATAATATTATTTTTTATTATTATATTATTATTATTTTAATATATTATTTTAATAATATAATTTTATTATTATATTATTATTTTTATATTTGCATTATTTTTTTTATTTTTTTTTTGTCCCCCCTCCCTAACCAGGCAACAAGCAAAATAATAATAATATAATAATTATATTATTTTAATAAATCCCTGGTGGTCCAGTGGCATTGGTTGTTCAGTGGGGGGGCTGACAGCGAGGTGTTACTTACCTTCCTGCAGCTCCTGTCAGCTCCCTTCTCCTCCGTGCAGCTCCTCTGTCAGCTCCGTTCTGCTCACAGTGTAAGTCTCGCGAGACCCGCACTGTAAGCAGAACGGAGCTGACCGGGATGCTGCACGGAGGAGAAGGGAGCTGACAGGAGCTGGAGGAAGGTAAGTAACACCTCGCTGTCAGCCCCCAACAGGACCGCCAATAATTATTTCAGCTTACATTTTGCCAATAATATAGCATATATCACATGTTCATGTTACAAAAAGCTTCACTTATTTCCTGAATTGGTCGGGGTATATATCTGGTATATGCTGATGAATTCCACCGTCCCAATGTCTTCATTATATGTATGTATGTTTCTGCTGGAAGCAGTGGTGGCTGCTCCAATGCGGAAGGAGTGTCCTGAGTAGTGTGATGGATTAAGGCCTAACCTTGCCAATAATACCTAATATAGAGCATGAATTTACTAGTGGTGAGAGCATTGCCATGTAAGGTAAACAAAGGTTGGTCAGGGGAACCAGGAACAATGGTTAGGAATTTATCTAGTGCCTGTACCGGGCGCCATTTGTTACCGGTAGGGCAATAGGGGATTTTTACCAGTTGATTTTTTTGGTGTGGTTTTAGTGTGGTTGAGGGATAGCATCTAGTGATCTTGTATTTTTTTCAAAATGAGTAAACAGACGAGTAAAAAAAAACAAAAAACATGCCACTTAACACCATGTAGATGCTACAAAGAAGGATGGATTGGGAGGAGCTTGAAGGCGTTAATGATGTCAGTCTTACTGAGCCATGCCCCCTTCCCTGCAGTCAGAATTGCATCAATGGCATTATCAATGGTGGCATTCTGAAGGAAGAATTCCTATAAAGGAATGAGAGAGTTCAGACTGGGAGTCGTGGAAGAGTGGGGAGCTGAGAGGTCGACAATCAACCTTTGCTTGGCTGAACTTTTACCAGAGACCACCCCTATAGGGGTTAGTTCTCCATACTGAGAAAGGTGGCGAACTGAACGGCCCAAGTAGGAAACCTTGATCCAATTCAATCTTTAACAGTGTGTTAACTACTATTGGATTGGCAAGGGCGGACAACAGGTTCTTCCATTCTACAATGCCGAATGGCATGTAAATGATTCCCGTATGGAACCCCTCTGTGAATCCAGTCACCAAAAACTCCACCAAGTGTGGTGAGGGATGGTTATGTAAGAAGTCGTCGAAACAAGTCACATTGATTGAGGCCATGTAGGGTTTGGGAAACAATTTATTTGGACATATTGTCTTGGCATGTGCCCTAAAACAAAGAGAACACACATGCAATAACTGGCAAGCACTAAATCCACAGGAATCTGCATTAAAGTTATTGCAAATCTGGGATTTACCCAGAAAAACAATATTACAACCAAGCTTGTCCTTAATCACCTTCTCAGGTTTAGTTGAGGAGGTCCGGAAAGGAAAGGTAGCACCCAGCTCCGTGGTATTAGGACATAGGTTCATGGTATGTGAGGATGAAGAGCAAATACCACAAGCTGGGTACCTGAGGCCCGCAAAGTGCCCGTAAAACAGCTTTGTGTCCAGCTGGCTCCAGTCAGTCTGAAAATTGAACTGAGCCAGAGCTGCAGACGCCTTTTCGGAGAATGATCTGTGGTAATCATAAAATTATGTACCTCCATACTTATGCCCCAGGTCCACCAGCTTGTGTAAATACAGATCGAATTCCTCTCTCTGCACTCGGGATAAACCGAGCACACCACGTCCCTATAAATGCCATGATGAACTCAGGAATTGAGAACTTCCTATTCAACCTGGGGTCCCTAACCTTCAGTACAACAGAGACATCACCATAGGAATATGTCTTGTTCTCCAGAATATCTTGGGAGGCAATCAGCAGCGAAACTAGATTGACATCCTTGCCTTCCAAGATATTCTTCTTAATATCGGCTGGCACCATGTGAGCTGGGTTGATAATATTAGGGTTCTGTAGTGGACCAATGCATTTACCAGTCAGGGTGCCTGAGAGACCCGTAGATTTTGGAGTAACGAATCCAGGTGGTGGCACTGGCCTATCACTAGCATCCAAACTGTCCAACCTATCCGTAATCTGTCCTAACGAGGACAAGACCGATGACAGGACGGCCTAGAAGTCGGATAACTGGGCACCACTGGGGCCCTCGCTAGCCCCAGTGTTATTTGTGATGGTGTTGAGCAGTGTATAAAGTTCTGCCTTCCTGACAGGGGCAGGGTAGGGAATACTCCTACGCCTTAATTCGGCCATGATCCTAAGTATGGTCCAAAACCTGAGGGAAGACAGGCTGGCGTTGTCTCCTCCAGGAGATGGAGAGATGGACCTTGCAGGAGTGCTGGGAATTGACAAATCCTCAATAGCTTCTGGTAGTTCAGACATGCTAGGATAGGACAAAAAATTAATGAGTAGCCAAAGTGATAATATTGTACTGGCTAACTTACCTAATGCCAAGTGACAAAGAAACTATCTAATAATGGAGATGGGAGCCCTACTAATTGCCAAGTGGCATGAGAGGCTCTAGCTGTGTGTTGGCCCGAGGGGATTTTGTGGCCACTGAAAATGTGGCGGGGTGTCTGCCTCTCGGTGACCAGTAAATCAAAAGATAGCATGGGAGTGACAGGAGGAGGCTCTCTCTATACCACCATGTGAGGCGACTAACTATGAGGTGGCCATTGGGTGTGAGTACCTCAGAGTATGAGGATGGGTGTTGGCCTCGCAGGACCACTGAGACAAGGCAAGAATGCCAGAAAAACTAAGCGGACTTTGAAACTCATCAGCCAGTAGACAAAGTATTACTCTAGTACCAGTTGCAGGATGGGGAGGGGGGGAAGGTGTAACGACCACTGGATTCACATACCTGTCGTATCAGATGGATATCGAGTAAAACAGAGTAGATGAAACCCAAGCAATACCTATGAGTATAATAGCAATGTTGTAGTACCCATATCGTGACTGTTAAATAGCAGAAAAATCTAAATAATATGGGATACCTACCAGCCAATAGACTAGGTCTAAAATGAACCAGCAAAGCGTAAGTGGTAGTATAACCAGTAGTGCCTAGTACCGATGTGAAATTGTAGAAATCGAAAGAGAGGAGATGATAGTTAAATGGCAGAGTGACTTCAATCTGTAATATATAATACCACCAATATCAGAACCTTCAAGAGAGCTTAACTGACAAAAAATAAAAAGGACCCACCTAAAGTGAGTTTGACAAATGAAACTGAGCCAACCAGAACCTATGAGACTTGAAAAACCCTCAGAGGCACAGGCAAAAGGAAGGTTCAAACCCGGCAACCTATAAAAAATATTAGATATGTTACAACATATCTAATATACAGAACACAATTTGGCAACAATGCGCTGCTCAATTAAATTTAAACAGAAAAGTATTTGATCAGAAATTTAAAACATGCAGTAGAGGCCAGCAGCCTTTCCAGCATATACATACAATTATGCGAATGTCCACATGGACTCAAGGAATACCTATTACTATAATAGGGCACTTGGCTGTAATTATACGAAGGGGCCCAAGGAGGAGCAAAGAGCCGCTTAACAACCAAACAGGCATGTTGTACAACTCGTAAGTAACGTGCATGCGTACGAACACAGGGCCAAACGGGTGAGCACAACCTCACGAAAGCCAATGCATATGAACTGACAAGCAGTAAAATAATTAAACAAACTACCGAACCATACTTTCGTATGGAAGTTAACAAAAGACTATACGAAAGGCATACGAAATAGAGGTAAGTGTGAGAATAGAGTTGGCCCGTGATGATGCTGTGTGCCCGCGACAGGGTCTCAAATGTCGACCAACTCGCTGTTATGCAGCTTTGAGACATTTAGCGGTAGAGACCAGAGGAGACGGGAAATATCCCAGAGGCCTTGGATGGCTGAAAACTCGAACCAGGAACGGGCAGACTCTCTAAGAGCAGGTAAGGTATCCTCGAGGAAAGGTAAGCAAAATGGCGACCTGCGGCAGCCGGAAGTCCAGGTATGCAAATCGCCAGACCAACAACGGTAATGAGGAGGGGTCTGGCGGTCCTTAGGTAGGGAAATCATGCCCCTCGCATAACTACAGGCCCAGCATTCCATATATTATTTTTCTCTTCTCCACAATTATGTAATTTAGTTATATTATAATTTTATAAGAAAAGGATAGAGAGATCGTGTTAGTTTTAGTAACTTCCAAATTCCCATACCCCTAAAGTGTACTAAGGACTAGGGAGCTATCTACTTAACTGCTGTAAGAATATCACAAGGAAAAAACCCTTTTCTTATTTTTGTTTTTTTCCAACTGTTTCTGCTAATACATCAGATCTGGATTAAGAAAAGCACAAAAGCTAATTTTCTTCTCTTTTTTAACACTTTTTTTCAGTCAGTTTTTGTTTAGTTGCTTGTTCCCTATTAGTTACATTGAGAGAGTACTCCTGGCCTCTCTAGTCTACATTGTCCTTGTTTGAAGGGTACCACTACCATATGTGAGGGAGGGAAGATCTACACCTGCTTACTTTGGCAACCTAATGTAAGATAATAGACAATCACCAATATTTAGGGATAAAAAATTAGAGAGTTATCTGCTTAACTACTGAAAGTGCAAGGTAAAGGTAAAAGCCTTTCCCTTCATTTTGTTCTTTCTGCTGTATTTCAAGATTTTATTAACAATGGAGGGACTGTTTGTAAAGTTTCACTATTGTTTACCTAGATGTTTACATACATATCCACTCACCAGATCTTAAAACACATCACACACACATTTGTAGCATCTTTCAGACACTTTTTAGGAATGGATGTATTGTAAGCTTTAGAAGTGTCTTCATGATCAGGCAAGCAATGAAATTTGGAGTATATTATCTGTGGAGATGGTTTACTAATTAACCTAAACAAATTGAAGGCAGTTCTAGAGTGGCCTCTACCACAAGGACTTAAGGCTGCCCAGAGATTTGTAGGATTCAGAATATCCAAGGGTTCTTCAAGAATATTGCTCCAATTATATTACTAAGAAAGGAACAAATTCTAAACATTGGTCCCCTGCAGCAGTAGCAGCCATCCTCCTCCTCTCAAGCCTTTTGTGTTAGAGGTTGATGTCTGAAGTTGGAGTAGGTACTATCTGGTCTCAGAGGACTTCTCTGGATACTCCCCTTCATCTTCTTCATTTTGTCTCTAAAAAATGTACATAAACAGAGATGAATTACAGTGCCAAAAACCAAGAATTGCTAGCCATAATACAAGCTCTGAAGGAGTGGTGTCATTTGTTGGACATCCTTGACCTGTCGCCAAATTCTCCCATCAGGTTCCTTATGGATTGCTACTGCCCCTACTCATACCTACTAAGTCATGGATTCATCTTCCTTTCAACTTTCTCATCTGCCTATCACCCACAAACAAATGGGCCTGCAGAGTGTGCCAACCAATCTTTGGAGCAATACCTAATCTGCTTTATTTCTAATATACAGGGCCCTGCTTCCCTGGGCTGAATTAGCTTGTAAACAACTCTGCCCATAAAGCTTCTGGTTACAGCCCGTTCTAAATAACATACGTCTACCATTCTGCTGTCCTCCTGTCCTTCTTTGTTAATATAGAAAAGACGGGATTGTATTTGCATTTAGCCACATTACAGAACGTCTGGGGGCAGGTCCATGCCATTCTGCAGAAAACTGCCATGCCCCAGAAAATAGCATGCTGATCTGCATTGGTGATACTGGCTGGTTGTCTACACAGAACATCTGTCTCCACATTCCCTGCAAAATGATGGATCCCCATTACATTATAAAATCCTTTAGAAAGTGAACCCTGTGTCATATGCTGTAGATTTACCTAAGAATCTCTAAATTATTTTTAATGTTTTTCATAAAACCTTTGCTATTCAACCAGTTTACCAAGATGATACCTCCTCCTGCTCCTGTTCTTGTTAATGGAGAGTACCAGGTTTGGGAGATTGTGGATTCCTGGTTTTCTAGGGGCTTCCTTCAGTAATTAGTGCATTGGAAATATTATGGACCTCAAGTTCCTGTGTTCCAGCTTCTGATATCCATGCTCTGCTTCTTGTTCATAGATTCCATGCCAAGTTTCCTTCACATCCTGGTTTTGCCCACCCTGAGGGCAGTTCTGGAGGGGTGGAGGGTAATGTCACAAAACTGCAATCACGGAAGTAATATCGCTTTACTGTTCCAATGCACACACATGTTCCTAGCTTCCTGGTGACTAGTTCTGATGTCATTTATGACACCAAACCCTTCCATTTGTCTCCTATATATTGTCAGTTTGTGTGGTACTTTTTGATGATGTTTACACTATTATGACATCACAGCCCTCTGCCGAGTATATATAATTCCTGATTGTCCTTGTTTGCTTGCCCTCTTTTTGTTTCTGTATACCTGAGAGAGCATTATTGTCTAGTGATTTATTGTTTATTGACCTTGGCTTTTCTGACTATGCTTGTTCTCTGTAGCCCTAAGAATTAGAAAGAATGAGAAAACAAATGTATCATCACCACCAACAAAAGGGAAGAAAGTGGAGAAATTAACAACCCACTCACCTGTTTCATCCCCAGGGCAAAGCATCAAAACTCTTTCAGTCCGTGGTGTGGGGAGCTGACTTTCAGAGTTCCAGAGCTCAAATACAATGCCCTACTGTAACTGGCTGCTCTGGCAGACGTAGCAGGCATTGCCACACCACAAACCAAAGCAGTCAGAGGGGAAAAAAACTAAATTAATTTTGAAGGAGATTTGCAAATTAGAGAAAAGGAAAAGAAAAAAAGGAGTGGAAGAGGACAGTGAGCAGGCAGTTGATCACCTACTCACTTGTTTTAGCCCCAGGGCAAAGTCTTTGATGGAGACCTGATCAGCAATGACACAGGCCACAAGAGGAACTATAGCATCTGAAGTCTGGGGTTAACTGTGGGAGGCACTCCGATGAAGAATGCTTGGAGCTGAAAAATCAGGTCTGCTTAGAGTTCTATGAGAAAACGTGCCAAATCTGTAGTGAAATGCACAGATTGACCAGCAGCCTTTGAAAGCTTTTCTTTCAGAACCCCAACACAGGAACAATAGCGAGGGGACTATCTTCCTGCCAAAAGTGTAACGTAAGGGAAAATGGTATTGTGGTGATATTTGTGTATACCCAGAGTGGTACCTCTGCTGTAGATTCTCCCAGATCCCTTAGTGAAGCAGTGATTAGAACTCCCGTATACCCAAATATCAGTCGAGACTTGATGCAGGGTACAAGAACTGGTTTGCTTATCCAAAAGCACACACTTTTATACACAGACCCCCAGGATGGGGTCTCTATTCATGAACACTTAAGCCTGCCCAGACGCAGCGGCGTACATACCACGGTTGCAAGGGTCGCAGCTGTGACCGTGCCCGTCACTCCAGGGGGCCCGGCCACCCTGCGGACCCCTGCGAGTGGGTGTCTGCCGCCATGTTTTGCGGCCATGCAGTATAATTGCTGGGGCCCACAGGTGAAGGGGCCCATCAGGTGGCCCATGCTGTTAGGGCCACCCGATGGAAATAAATATCACCATCAGAGTGGGCCCGATAATAGCACGACCAGGCCCACTCTGATGATGTCAGAAGCTGGGAGGAAGTGACTGCCGTCAACCTGAGCCACTGGACCCCAGGGAAGTCACCCTCCTGCACCTAAAAGGTAGGTAATAGGAGGGTGACTAAAATATTTTGCATGTGGGTGTGTTAGTGTGTGTGTGTTTCTATGTATGTGTCTGTATGTATCTGTAGTGTATGTATGTATGTGTGTGTCTGTATGTGTGTGTGTGTCTGTCTATGTATGTGTCTGTATGTATCTTTATGTATGTGTGTCTGTATGTATGTGTGTGTGTATGTGTCTGTGTCTCTGTGTGTGTCTGTATATCTGTGTGTCTGTGTGTGTCTGTATATCTGTGTGTCTGTGTGTGTCTATGTATGTGTCTGTATGTATGTATGTGTGTCTGTTTGTATCTCTGTATGTGTCTGTATGGGGTGGCGGGGGGGGGCCCATGTATCAGTTTTGCACCGGGGCCCCATGGATTGTGTGTACGACACTTCCCAGGCATCTCTGTGTCTGGGAGATAATTGAGTTGATAACTGGTAAACTAATCATCCAATAACATCTCTTAAACAATAAGGTATCCCCACATGTTATATGTCCAAGATGACTGTAAAATCCTGTATTAAGTGGCTAGGTGGGAGTTTCAGAGCTGTTTTAGGTTTGTCTTGCTAATAGTGTCTGGACACTCTGGGGGAACAGGACAGTGAGGTAGGAGGTTAGTGGATCTTTTAGGAGTGAGTTCATCACAATATGAAAGGCTTCTTTTCTATCATTGAAAAGGAAGAACCCCGAACAGCAATCAGCTGGCTAATAAGACCTGCTGTATGGACATAGCCCTGGAGTGGACCCCTGAATTGTTCTACGATAGGCTGGACACATTGCATTGACCTCCTAGGTGGTAAGTTGGAAATACCGGCAGAAGAACTTGCAATAGTGGTGGTGGGTGAAACCTGACTCTCTTTCACTTTCCTAGTGAGGACAAACTTAGATGGATTCATTTAAAAGTTTGATTGTAAAAAGAAAAGAAAATGTGAAAAGATTAGTTTATTAAACATAACTAGAGTATAAGGGCTAGTATGGTTGTTGTTTTGTTTTTTTAGTGTTTTTTCCTGTGTGATACAGGTGCTGTTGCTGCAGTGCACACACTAACAGTATACATGCTATTTCTTCAGTTTAACTAACTAAATGGATTTAAATGAATTTAAATGTAAAAGGATCCAAGAGCTAGAATAGTATTTCTCTACTAGGCTAGCCTAACCTACCTAACTTAGTAGTCTACCCTTTATAGAGCAGAATTCCTCAGGCCTCCAAACCAACTTACAGGACTCTTGTTCGCCCACTAAATACATTTAAATCAATTGAAGCTAAGCTATTAAAGCTAATATATACACTGCTCAAAAAAAATAAAGGGAACACAAAAATAACACATCCTAGATCTGAATGAATTAAATATTCTTCTGAAATACATAGTTGAATGTGCTGACAACAAAATCACACAGAAATTAAAAAATGTAAATCAAATTTTTCAACCCATGGAGGTCTGGATTTGGAGTCACACTCAAAATTAAAGTGGAAAAACACACTACAGGCTGATCCAACTTTGATGTAATGTCCTTAAAAGAAGTCAAAATGAGGCTCAGTAGTGTGTGTGGCTTCCACGTGCCTGTATGACCTCCCTACAACGCCTATGCATGCTCCTGATGAGGTGGTGGATGGTCTCCTGAGGGATCTCCTCCCAGGAGCATCTGCCAACTCCTGGACAGTCTGTGGTGCAACGTGACGTTGGTGGATGGAGCGAGACATGATGTCCCAGATGTGCTCAATTGGATTCAGGTCTGGGGAATGGGCGGGCCAGTCCATAGCATCAATACCTTTGTCATGCAGGAACTGCTGACACGCTCCAGTCACATGAGGTCTAGCATTGTCTTGCATTAGGAGGAACCCAGGGCCAACCGCACCAGCATATGGTCTCACAAAGGGTCTGAGGATCTTATCTCGGTACCTAATGGTAGTCAGGCTACCTCTGGCGAGCACATGGAGGGCTGTGTGGCCCCCAAAGAAATGCCACCCCACACCATTACTGACCCACTGCCAAACCGGTCATGCTGGAGGATGTTGCAGGCAGCAGAATGTTCTCCACTGCGTCTCTAGACTCTGTCACGTCTGTCACATGTGCTCAGTGTGAACCTGCTTTCATCTGTGAAGAGCACAGGGCGCCAGTGGCGAATTTGCCAATCTTGGTGTTCTCTGGCAAATGACGTCGGGCCCTCATACCACCCTAATGGAGTCTGTTTCTGACCATTTGAGCAGACACATGCACATTTGTGGTTTGCTGGAGGTCATTTTGCAGGGCTCTGGCAGTGCTCCTCCTGTTCCTCCTTGCACAAAGGCGGAGGTAGCGGTCCTGCTGCTGGGTTGTTGTCCTCCTACGGCCTCCTCCACATCTCCTGATGTACTGGCCTGTCTCCTGGTAGCGCCTCCATGCTCTGGACACTATTTTGACAGACACGACAAACCTTCTTGCCACAGCTTGCATTGATGTGCCATCCTGGATGAGCTGCACTACCTGAGCCACTTGTGTGGGTTGTAGACTCCGTCTTATGCTACCACTAGAGTGAAAGCACTGCCAGCATTCAAAAGTGACCAAAACATCAGCCAGGAAGCATAGGAACTGAGAAGTCGTCTGTTGCAGAACCACTCCTTTATTGGGGGTGTCTTGCTAATTGCCTATAATTTCCACCTGTTGTCTATCCCATTTGCACAACAGCATGTGAAATTGAGTGTCACTCAGTGTTGCTTCCTAAGTGGACAGTTTGATTTCACAGAAGTGTGATTGACTTGGAGTTACATTGTGTTGTTTAAGTGTTCCCTTTATTTTTTTGAGCAGTGTATATATATTATACACACACACACCTGGATGCTACAAGCATCTATCAGTATTGTAGGTTCAACATATGTTGTTTGTAAAATTTCATGTATGTAGAGGAGACACATTGTAATGTGTGTAAGGTGTTTGTCTGTGGTGTACTTTATGTGAATAGGGGCTGTAGTGTGTGTTTCTGGCCTGTAAAGTAGGTGCGCAAGGCCTATATGTGTGTGCATGTAAGCGCTGTACTTTGTGTATGTATCTAGATTATGCAGAGGGTTGCATTGTGTGTTTGTATCTAGGAGCTTTAGTGTATATGCATATAGGGGCTGATGTACACGTGTGTATAGGTACAATAATGTGTGTGTATAGGGGGTTATATTTGCATGTATGTGCATATGTGTATAGGAGTATAGTGTATGTGTGTATAGTGTGTGTATTTATAGGGGATATAGAGCAGTGTATGTATAGACATAGGCGTGCGCAGCCTATTGCATTCGCGTGTGTGAGTATGTATGTATCTATATATATATATATATATATATATATATATAAACACACACACACACACACTGCTGTGTGTGCTGTTAGTGTGCTGTGTGCTGTTAGTGTGATGTGTGTGTGAGGGTGCGTGTTTGTGACTGTGCGGTTTGTGTGTGAGGGTGTTTGTGTGTGTATGTTTGTCCTGTGAGGGTGCTGTTTGTGAGGGTGCTGTTAGTGTGCTGTGTGTGAGGGTGTTGTGTTTTTTTTAAAGGTGCTGTGTGTGTTTGTGAGGGTGCGGTTAGTGTACTGTGTGTGTGTGAGCTGTATGTGTGTAGGTGCTGTATGTGTGTGTGCTGTATGTTTGGAGGGATTTGGCAGATTAGTAAATCCTTGCTGCCATGTGCCATCCCTGGTGGTCCAGTGGAGAGTGAACTCTAGCCTGCGGGGCTAGAGTTAACTCTCACGAGATCTGAGCGTTGCCGCAGCAACGCTCAGATATCGTGAGAGGAACCTGGCGGAGCTTCTGTCTAGAGCTCCCTCCATACTGCCTCCCTCCATGCTGCTGTGGGCCGGTGAGGTAGATCTTTGGTCTCCCCGCCGGCCCATGTAGGCTTAGAGCAGAGCCGGCACTCAGATAGCGCCGGCTCTGCGTGTGTGTGTGTGTATATATATATATACGTACACACACACACATACATACTCACAGACACACACATACACTCACAGACACACTCACACACACACTGACACACACTCACACACACACTGACACACACACATACATACTCACAGACACACACTCACAGAACCACACACACACACATACTCACAGAAACACACACACACACACACTCACAGACACACACACATACTTATAGACACACACACACTGACAGACACACACATACTCACACACACATACTCACACACACACACAAATTATTATATTTTAATTTTAAAAAACAATGTCCACCCAGCCTCCTACCTGGAGTGCTGGTGGACTTTTCCCTGGGGTCCAGTGGGGGCGGGCGCCTTTCTCCAGCTGAGCCGCGGCGAGGGAGCTCTCTGCTGTCGGCTCTCTGCTCCCTCTTGCCGCGCGGGCTGTCTGCTGCAGCTGGGAGCCGGAATATGACGTCATATTCCGGCTCCCGGCATCAGCGCGCGGCGAGAGGGAGCAGAGAGCCGACAGCAGAGAGCTCCCTCGCCGCGCGCTGAGTGGGGCGTGGGAATCCATCACCTCTTGCCCTCCCATGACAGGGGCAAGAGGTGAAACAGGGGGCACTGAGTGCCTGCAGGAACAGCGTTCCTGCTCAAAAAAAGTGCAGGAACGCTGTTCCTGCAGGACTCAAACCATAGGCGTGCCACAGGGATTAGGGTGTGCCCAGGCACACCCGGCACACCCCGTGCGCACGCCTATGTGTATAGATTGTGTGTACATGAACATGGGGTATAGAGTGTGTTTACATACGGTATAAAGTGTATGTTGTGTGCGTTTATAGATGGTATAGACTGTGTGTAGTGTATTTGCGTGTGTGTGTGCAGGGGGTATAGTGGGTATATAGGCCTAGGGGGAATAGAGTATGTGTATTGTGTTTGTGTGTGTAAGTGTAGGGTGTGTAGTTTGTATAGGGATATAGAGAGTGTTTAGTGTACTTTGTATAAGTGCAGGCTTTCTCTGTAGTTGTGTTTGCCCCAACCTTGCACCTCATGCTGAAATTCTAACCCATCTGAGGAGCTGGCTAAAAAGCTGTTAGCCTGGTAGTCCTTCATGAGTTCAGCGATAAGGCCACTTGTTCTCAAGGTTCAAATAAATCCTTCAGGGTACTCTTCTTTAGACGTTCCAAGTGCTGCTCCACCCACGATAGGTACACAGCCAAATGGGATTCTCTGGTGAAAGTGATCCTGGTACTCCTTTGGGTGTATCCTAAAAGAGGTAGTGATCAATCCCACCTCTGACACCAATTTCTACATAGCCAAATATCAGAGAGTTGATGAAACGTGAACAAGGGATGTTATATTGGCACAGCAAATGCACATATATATTGTTTACAGTGTGTATTTAACCTCCTGGGGGGTTATCAACATAAAAAAGGACAGTTTCCTCCCCAGCACCACCAAGTAGTAGGAAGAACACAGCTCCAATACCCCCTTTCCCAATATGGCACAAGCAATGCATCCCCAGGTAACTCACCCTGCAGTTATTCTCTGTCCAAAATGTTCCCTTATTTCCATTATGGTGTCCTATTGTCACCTGTTTAAAGGTTTGACCGATTTGGAACCTGTTAAGTGGAGTTGGGTCCTAGGGGAAGAAGACACAGTAGTTTAGTTTGTGATAAAATTGGCTGAATAGTTGTTCCTGTAATTTGTGTATGTAGTACTGAACTTGCATTGTTATCATTTTGACCTGATTTATCTCGGAAAAAATATGAAAGTTCCATTTTGTTTGATGTTTGATGCTTGTCTTGAGACTGGCTAGTATAAAGACTGGAAAAATCTTGTGTAACAAGATTAGATGAGGGTTGTACGCCAATGAGAATACATTTGGGATATGGCCTGAACCTGGCAAATTATTTTGCCCAGGCATTTAAAGAAGAGCAGCCCAATATGTATGAGCGAGACAGAGAGAGGGCATGTTAGTCTGAAGTCCCTCCAGCGCATCCCATGCACAAAGGTCTGCTGAAAAGCTCTCACATGGGGAAAATGACCTTAGGGTGTTTTACGCAGCACAAGTGAATTTAATGACATCCTTGAACTGTGTTTACTGGTGAAATGTCTCTGGTGTACCAATAAATGGGATACCAGAGGGCACAAGTGAGACAAGGCTGGTAAAGGGTGATGTGTATTTGTGGCAACCCATGCTGTTGTATGTGTTTGGTGCCTCCTGGTGGGATTGTATGTGTTAAGGAGTCTGTTTGTGGTTTACTATGTGTGACTAGGAGCTGTTGTCATGGGCATAATTGTAAAGACATCCATGCTTGGCCCCTTTTTGACATTGTCATGATGGGGAGGAGCATAGTCATTATCACATAAAACCAGGGTGAATAGCGTTTTCACAACTATGGTGTCAGGAATACATGTTTATTTTCCTGACACTATAGTGTTCATTTAATCAAATTAAAGGAACATTCTGGTCATCATAACAACTTCATCTAAATGAAAATGCTTTGATGCAAGGAGACCCCTGGGCGCTCTCTTTCCTTTAAGGAGTGAAAGCGCTCTCAAATTGTTTAACCCCAAAGGCTTCCTCCAGCTCCAGATCTCCAGGTCGCTCAGTGGTATTCAGCTTTTCTGCTCCTTGCTGACCCTTCCTCTCACTTACCTGATCTGTAGGTTGAGCTCCTCCTCCCTCCATGCTTGCTGGCTGCACTCTGTGCTGCTCCCCTGCGGATACAGTCAGGAGAAAGAAGCAGGGATAATCTGTAGCTTCCTATCCCTGCCTTTCTCCATTCACAGCTGGTCGGCACCGGTATTGCAGTTTATTATCACACAAATTAAAAATAGCAGCACAAGCTGAAAAATCCAGGTGCCCCCCCTGTGGATGCCCATGGCTGTCGTGTGTATGTGTGTCCACGTGCTGTAAAGTGAACGTCTTGTTTGTTTCTTGGATGTGCAGTGTGTGTATAGGGGCTGTTGTGTGTGTGTGTGTGTGTGCATCCAGGGGTAATAGTGATTGTGTGTATTGGGGCTGTAGTGTGTTTGTGTATGCATCTAGAGATTATAGTGAATGTGTTTGTATAGGGGCTGTAGTGTGTTTGTGTGTGTATCTAGGGGTTATAGTGAATGTGTGTGTATAGGGGCTGTGGTGTGTTTGTGTGTGTATCTAGGGGTTATAGTGAACGTGTGTGTATAGGGGCTGTAGTGTGCATATATGTTTAAATGGGCAGTAGTGTGAATTTATGTGCATAGGGTTTGGACGGGGTCTGTAGTGTGGGTGTGTATGAATAGGGATTATAGTGTGTGAAGGATAGGAGTTCTAGAGTACTTAAATAACTTTTTAAAAATCAAATATTTATCCCCCACTCCCTTTTATTACCAGTGGCCCAGGGTGGGGGACATCCTGGTAGTCCAGTGTGCAGATTTCACTCTCTGCCTGGTGCACAACATTTCTCTCTTGAGCTTTGGCACTGCTAAATTAGAGTTTTACCGTAGTAACCTGCTGCAACACTTTCACTAACCAGAGCTCATGGGAGCAAAGTACTTGGTCTTCACCAGGCTCTCAAATGCTTCATATTCCCTGGTGTTCAAGGGACTGATCTCCTTTTTTTGGGACGGCGTTCACTGAACATCGGCTCTGCGTGAAATCAAAATAGTTTCTAAATTCAAACAGTTTACCCAAAAATATGATTTATTTTTATTTTTTTTATTTTTTTTACCTCTACTAAATATTTGCAGTTTTGGTGAGGTTTATTTTGCAAATGATGTATTTACAATCTAACTTCTGTCTACATTATAAAACCGCATGTTTTTTTTTACATTTTGCTTCAGCCAGTGAATCAAATGATATTCTCCAAGAAGCACAGGTACAAATCTTCTCTAACAAGCTTTGCAACAGCTCCGACTGGTATGATGGGAATATAGGTGTCCACAATATATGTGCAGGCTACGACAAAGGGGGCATTGACAGCTGTCAGGTATGTTCTCTTATTCTAAATGTCCCCTTTACATAGACTAAACTCTCTCTCTGTCTCTCTCTCTCTCTGTCTCTCTCTCTCTCTCTGTCTCTCTCTCTCTCTATCTCTCTCTCTCTCTATATATATATATATTATCTGAAATGTGTTTATAGCATTTTATACATTTTCTTTTTTTATTTGGGGCAGGGATTTGTGCAGGAATTAACTATATAAATCACTTTTATATAACTTTGCCACAACTCCTCACAGTGCTAATGGGAGATTTAAGCATGGTGGGCTAGCTTGTGCCTGGCTTCTCTTCTCAATGAGCCGCAATAAAGCTCGTTGATAAGCATAAGAAAGCCGCAAACATGGCCATATGCGCATGCATGCAGGCGTCTTCAATCTGTGTTGGGAAAAGCTGTGTTAATAAAAAAAAACATACAGAAAAAAATGCATTTTTGGGAGTATATCTACTAAATTGAAAAAAATAATTTTCAGTGGTGTTTTCCTTTAAAAACATTTTTGTATGGACTATATTTTTGTGTTATTTTCATGCTGGTTATATACTTTAACCCCTTAAGGACAGAGGCAATTGTCCAAGTTCTAAACCAAAACAAAACATAGAACTATAGGTCTGTTTAAATATAATTTACCTCTTTCATATTATTTATTGTTTTGTTCAGAAAATGGCTTTTATATCATCTCAAATATTTATATATGCAACATAATTTAATTTGAATAAGAATCTAAAAAAAATAAATTGGGATATTAAGAAATGTTATTTTTTAAGTTCTGCATGGCATTTTAAGTGTGAATGTCATAATACTGTTAGCTTTTATTTAATAAAATACACATATTTGTGTGCCTTGATGTCCCACAAGTACAATGAAACACCCCCATGCAGGGCCGGTGCAAGGATTTTTGCTGCCCTAGGCAAAATAAAAGTGGATGGGTCACATATTAGTGTAGAGGGTCTAAAGTGTGTGTTTATGGAATGTAGTGTATAGGGATACCAGTTTGTGTAGGTGATGCAGTGTGTTTTCTGTGTAAGGGATAGAAAGCAATGTATTTTTGTGTGTATGGGATGTATTGTGTGTTTATGGTTGTGTTTAAGGGATGCATTGTGTGAATCTGTGTTTGTATGTGTAAGGGATGCAATTTCTGTGTATGTAAAGGATGCTGTGTGTGTGTCTGTAAGGGTTGCATTGAGTGTGTGTGTAAGAGATGCATAGTGTTTCTGTGTTTGTGTAAGAGAAGCAGTGTGTGTTTGTGTGTGTGTGTCTGTAAGGGACGCATTGTGTATTTCTGTATATGTGTGCCAGGGATGCATTGTCTTTGTGTGTAATGGATGTTTGGTATGTGTGTCTGTGTGTAAGGAAAGCATGGTGTGTTTGTTTGTGTAGGGATGCATTGTGTGTTATTGTGTGTGTAGTGTGAAAGAAAGAGTTTGTAGGGTAGGATAGGGGCTGAGTCCTACCAGCCGCTTTGTGCTTCTCTTTCCCCCATTCCTCAGCCTCTCTACCCTCTTGACCCTTACTGCTCTCCCCTCCTGTCCCTCAGAGCTCTCCCCTGCCCCACTGTCCCTTAGTGGTCTCCCCTGTCACTTAGTGATCTCCCTGCCCCCTTTCTTGTAGTTCTCTCCCCACCTGTCTCCTAGTGCTCTCTCCAACCCTTCCCCCATACCTTGGTGCTCCCCCGATCCCTTAGTGCTCTCTCCTACCCCCCCTCATCCATAGAGCTCTCCCCTGCCCCTTAGTAATCTCTACTCTCTCCCACCCCCTCAGTGGTCTCTACTCTCCTCCCTCGGCTCCCTTGGTGTACTCTTCTCTTCTCCCCCCCTTTCCATTAGTGATCTCTCCTCTCCCGTCTACCCTCTCCCCCTTAGTGGTCTATGTTCTCCTCTGCCACCCCCCTAGTGGTCTCTCCTCCCCCCTTTCCATTAGTCATCTTTCCTCCCTTTCCATTAGTGGCCCTCCTCTCCCTCTCTCCTCCTCCCCTAGTAGTCTCTCATCTCCCCATTGTTGTCTCTCCTGCCCCTCACCCTTACTGGTCTCTCCTCAACCCCCCTTTCCCACTTAGTGGTCTCTCCTCACCCCCCCATTCCTTAATGGTCTCTCCTCACCCCCCTCCTTAGGTGGTCTCTCCTCACCCCCTCCTTAGGTGGTCTCTCCTTCTTAGTGGTCTCTCCTCCACCTCCCCCGCTCCTCCTCCCATGGTGGTCTCTCCCCATTCCCTTACCTCAGTGGTCTCTCCCCTGTTTTCTCCTCCTCCCATAGAGTCCCCCCTCAGTGATCTCTCCCCTGTTCTCCTCCCCCACTTTCCTATCCTGTGTAGCGTGTCCAAGCTCCTGTCCGGTCTGCGGTACAGGAGTTTCTGTTTCCTGTACTCGGCCGGACTGACGGGAAGTTCTCACTCATTTCAGTTTTGGCAGCCGAGGAATGAAAATTACCCTCATCATGGCATACCATTTGCTAAAGAAGACAACCCAGGGTATTCAAAATGGGGTATGTCCAGTCTTTTAGTAGCTATTTAGTCACAAGCCCTGGCAAAAATTAGTGTTTATATTTGCTTTTTTGCATTTTTTCACACGCACAGTTTTACTGCTCTAAACCATTTATATTTATGTTCAGTGATCTCACAGGCACAACAATATTCCCAATGCCCAGGTTTCCTGGGGTTTCAGAAGTTACAGTGTCAAATATAGGGCTTGCAAAATAAATTCTCTGGAATTTCTGCCGGGTTGTTAGTAAAGTTGCCACCTTTATTATAAAGAAAAATACCATACTAATTTACATAATTATATATGTGTGACATCACAGGATGTCATATAAGAGATACAATACATTTGCAGGGAAAAATATAGGCACACCCATATACACACTGATATACATAAACACACAGACACACACATTGACAAAAACAAGCACATAATCACATTGTGTGCATGTCTGATGTTGCATATCTGTGTATATACCTGAGATTTGGTGTTTGGTATTGAATGTCCTTGTGTATCTGTAACTGTATATCTGTGTTTACTAACATTGACTTTCCACTATTCCTAGGAATGGGATACTGATTGGTTAGATCAGTGTCCCCAATGGAGTGGGCATAGAAAGCATAAGCAAGAAAAAGCAGGTAAATATAGAAAATTTACCTGCAGAGTGAAACAACTGTCATTCAAACTAAAATATCTGAATGAGACCATTATGTCAAATGCCTTTCTCTTGAATGGCAGGGGGAGCAGATAGTATGGCATGGGAGCAGATTGTACAGCAGGGGGTGGAGCTAGAATGGCATGTGGAGCCAGCCATTCTATCTTCTCCCCGTGCCGTACAATTGGCACGTCCATAAAGCAGCACAGGCAGCCACCTTAGGGAGCACCAGCCCGAGTGGCGCTAGATTAGAGTGACCGGCAGGGGTTGGGCGCACAGCGCTCCTTCCTTCCAATCACTCAATGTAGCGTGGATGAACGGAGCGGACCACGGTACAGGAGCTTCTGTTTCCTGTACCTGGTCGGACAGACAGGAATCTATTGCTCCTATACTGCAGTCCGCTCCGCTAAGCCATGCCTCAAGAGTGGTAGGAAGCACACCGAAGAGAGGAGCAGACCATGGGGGGGGGGGGAAGAGGGGAACTAAGAGCACTAAAGGAAGGAAAAGGACCTCACTAAGTGACAGGGAGGGGTGTGACCACTAAAAGAAAGGGAGGAGAGGAACACTGGGGGCACTCAAGGGGGAAAAAGAACACTAAGGACGGGAGGGTGGTCGCACCACCAAAAAGAGAGGGAGGGAGAGAAACACCAGGGGAGAGAGAGGAACATTAAGGGTACAGGGGAGGGAAGGGAGGGAACTACTACAAAAGAGTGTGGGGGGGTGGGAGGAACACTAAGAGGGGGGGGTGGGAGGGACATTAAGGGGGGTGGGGAGTAAGAGGCGGAGAGGAACACTAAGGGACAGGGGAGGGAAGGGAAAAAGAAATAGATGGGGGGTTGTAGGAGTAAGTAAATAAATATACTTAGTTAAAATATACTCAGACCCAGAAAGTACTTTAGCTTGTTAAAGTGCTCGATGTGTGAAGAGTGTGTCCTCTTTTTTTTAATTTCATATAGTCCAAATGAAAAATGCATGCATGTTTTCTTTGGGGCATCTACTAAACAGCTATTATTTTTTACTTTGCATTTGGGCAGTGGAGCGTACCTATCATAATCATCCTGCAGGAACTCATAGTTAATATGAAAACATTAAATTGTGATGCTTCCAAGCAAATCATTTTCAATGCCTGTCTTTAACAGCAAAGCCTTTAAACAATGATGTACAGTTGTTAATAAAGATAAATGTGAATTGAGGTCCTATAATTGTTATCTTGATGTTTTTTTTAATCTCACTCTTTTTACGCAGGGTGACAGTGGAGGACCCCTCATGTGCAAAAGAAAGAGAGCAAAACTATTTTCTGTGGTTGGGGTAACCAGCTGGGGGCAAGGCTGTGGAAAGAAGAACAACCCTGGTGTTTATTCATCTACCAAGCATTTCTTTAACTGGCTAATTGGAAAAATTACCAACGAGAGTGCATACAAGTCCAAGAAAAAATAAATATAAAACATTTACAATAATCGTCAACTTATTTTATTATCTTTAAAGTGATAGCGTGTCCTGTCTCGCAGTACCATACAGTGGGTAAACAAAACAGTTTATACTTCAAAATAAGTTTGACTTCTTGACTTGACAAGAGGTATTGAGGGTCCTAATTTCCATCTAAAGAAATCATACAAAAAAGTAAAGATAAAGTTCATTGTATTGAAGGTAAAAATTGATTACTAGGTATTGACAACACAAGTCTGTAAACATATTGCTTGAATAGTGGAGAAGCTGAGATCAGCAAGAAAAAGGGAAGACACAGAAGAGAAATTAATTAAACTCGTTGTTTGATATGGACTTTCAAAGATTTCTTAATTAACTGAATATATTATGACTATATTAACAGTATATAAATATTATGTATATATTTTGCAGTACCGTAGCTCATTTTCCCGCTGTTTGGTTCACAGATCAAGTGAGAAGAAGTAACCAACAAAGGGGAAAAAAGGAAGATCAGTAGAAAAAAAAACCCACAAATCTGTATTTATGTATTATATATCGCATTTACTCAAATCTAATGCACATTCAAATTTTGGAAACTTTATTTTCCAAAAAAGGCGCGCATTAGATTCGAGTAAATACGATACTTATTAAATATACATATAGCTTACATGATCCAGCGCAGTCACTCATTAACTAAACAGCAACTTCAAAGAATGTAATAGCTTTTTTACAACACCTAACCTAGGCAAAAAATATATTTAAAAAAGGAGGATAAGTAAAATCTATCTATCTATCTATCTATCTATCTATCTATCTATGTATGTATCTATCTATCTATCTATGTATCTATCTATCTATCTATGTATCTATCTATCTATGTATCTATCTATCTATCTATCTATGTATCTATCTATCTATGTATCTATCTATCTATGTATCTATCTATCTATGTATCTATCTATCTATCTATCTATCTATCTACCTATCTATCTATCTATCTATCTATCTATCTATCTATGTATGTATCTATCTATCTATCTATCTATCTGTCTATCTATCTATCTATCTATCTATCTATCTATCTGTCTATCTATCTATCTATCTATGTATCTATCTATCTATCTATCTATCTATCTATCTATATATCTATCTATCTATGTATGTATCTATCTATCTATCTATCTATGTATCTATCTATCTATCTATGTATCTATCTATCTATCTATGTATCTATCTATCTATGTATCTATCTATCTATCTATCTATCTATCTATCTATCTATCTATCTATCTATCTATGTATCTATGTATCTATCTATCTATCTATCTATCTGTTGGTAGATTATTCTACTTTAAAATGGCTAATGGCTTAAACATATAACTATGTGTAAAGACAAGTGTCAATTAGATTTAGTGATTGTGCACAAGGTAATGAAGGGCCAGTGTGAAAGACCAAATGACCCTTCTCCATTATTTTGACATTTTATGCTTTAATCTGATCATTTCACAAGATATCGTAGCCTTCTGTCTGTTGTAATAATTTGAGCTGGTTTCTAAATGATTCCTTTTAGATGCTAACTAACCCAAATGTTCCCAATTCCTTATTCCGCAGTGACTGTGTGTGGCTGTAGATATTGACCTTGTTCCAGAAAATTAGTTTAGTTTAGAGGTGCTGTCTGTCTTCGGGCTGCCTGAACTACAAATCAGTCCTCCTCCTATTCCAAACATGACACTGTTTTACTGTTAGTAATTACTAGTGTTATCTTCCAAGAGTCCAGGAGTAATGCCAAAATGTTTTGGACCCATCTGGCTCTGTCTGATCCCATCTGTGATCCCCATGTGAAGCAACCTTCAGGTTTAGTAAATATTTCAGGAAGGAATTGCTAGCTAAAGTTTACATATAACAGTCGTACTTATGTGTTAAGCTTTGGTAAAAATCTCCAAAAAATTCTATCATTCTTTTATTATATTAGTCTACTCTCAATAGTATTTTACAGGAATTTCACTTTGAACTGACAACAACCCTAATACTTACACTCTGGGCACCTGCACAATGTTTAGTACTGATTAAGTGATTTCATTTACTGTGCTTTTTCATATTAAAATCTCTTTATAGAAACAAAAGTCTTTCTAGAGCATGGGTGCCCAAAAGGTAGATCTCCAGATGTTTTAAAACTCTAGCTTCCATGATGCTTTGTCATTCTAAAGGCATGCAAAGCATCAAGGGAGTTGTAGTTCTGCAACATCTGTGGATCTACCTTATGGGCACTCCTGTTCTACATAACCCTCTCATTGAGTCATGCTTTTCATTTTTTTTTTTTATTGACCTTAAAAAACACAATGCTCACTAGAGCAACTTCATCTAACTTAAGTTGCTATGGTGACCATAATAGTTCTCCCATTTATAGTGGACCCAAATAATTTTATTTTAATAGTTAGAAGGCTTGGAAGAGCAGCTTCAAGCCACACCTCTAAGCCCATACTACATACTACTTAATATGTTACAATACATACACTGCATACCTTAAATAAGGAAAGACATGTTGGGAAAATGGGCCACTATTTTCTTCTTTTTAAAAAAAAAAAAAAAAAAAACAGAAGAGATTAGAATGTGGAGAAAACTATGGCATCAAAACCTAAACCTAACATGGACTTAAAGGACAACTGTCACCTCAAAATATTTTTAAATATTATATTCCTCTGATCAAGTTTGGAAAGGACTTTTTTTTTTTTTTTTTTATTAAGTACATGTGAAACAATGCTAAAAAACTCATCCCTACTTTATATTACAGGATCCTTCAGCCAAATCCTTCCCACCCTACCTGAGTAGAATGCTCTCCCCGGCTGTTCCCACCTCCTATAACCTCCGATCCAGTACTAGCACGATATTTAGCATACCGCAATACAAAAATAAAGTGGCTCGATCCTCCTTTTCCTAGGAGCACCACAATTATGGAATAACCTCAGGGACACAGTCAAATCTTCATTCAATCTAAAATTCTTTAAGCGATCTATGGCAATATACCTCAGCACAGAATGCACCTGTCATGGTTGAATATATTTATTACCCGTTATGTGTTACATTTTATATATGTGTGTGTATATATATATATATATATATATTGTTTGTATATTGTATTTTTGTAATATTGTAACAATGCAATGTTTTGTGGACCCAGGACATACTTAAAAATGAGAAAATCTCAATGTATCCAACCTGGTAAAATATTTTATAAATAAATAAATATAAATGGACCTTGGGCCAGACTGTGTTTGAAAATCGACAGTTAGTCTCTATGGGTTTTCTTGTTTCTGTGCAGGGAGTAAATCAGTAAAGACTGTGGATGCCAACTGTGTACATACACTGTCTGACCCATGTATATAGTTGAGAGATCCAACTAAGCTGGTTCATGGGTTGCAGAATAAAACTTACAAGGAAAGGTTAAAGGAATTTAACATGTATAGCTTGGAGGAAAGTGAGACAGGGGGGATATGATAGAAACATTTAAATATATAAAGGGAATCAACACAGTAAAGGAGGAGACTATATTTAAAAGAAGAAAAACTACCACAACAAGAGGACAAATTAGAGGGACAAAGGTTTAAAAATAATATCAGGAAGTATTACTTTACTGAGAGGGTAGTGGATGCATGGAATAGCCTTCCAGCTGAAGTGGTAGAGGTTAACACAGTAAAGGAGTTTAAGCATGCGTGGGATAGGCATAAGGCTATCCTAACTATAAGATAAGGCTAGGGACTAATGAAAGTATTTAGAAAATTGGGCAGACTAGATGGGCCGAATGGTTCTTATCTGCCGTCACATTCTATGTTTCTATGTTTACTGTGAGATATGCATCTTTCAAGTTGAAACGGGAGAACCAGTCTCCCTCGCAGAGTAGGTCTCGCAAGAGATGAATACCCTCCATTTAGAAATGCTGGTAAACAATAAAATAGTTTGTCTTTCAGACTGATAACTGGTCGAAAGTCTCCCGACTGTTTTCGGACCAGAAACATGTTGCTTATGAATCTGTGAGGGGACAGAGAATGTTCTATGTGCCTTTGGCGACAAGGTCATTTTGCACAGCCTCTAGGGTCGCATTGTCCTCTTGAGACATGTGCAGAGGAGGGTGGGCGGGGGGAAACCTCTGCAGAGGATTGTTTGCAAAAGCTACATGGAAACCTGATGCAGTTTGAAGGATCCATGGATCCCGAGTTAATAGATAAGGTTAAAAGGAAAAAAAGGTTAATCGGCCTGCAATAGGAACTTGAAAATAAGGAAAGTCAATTACCTGTAGCAGTGCGGCCATGGAGGAAAGCAGAGCCACGTCCTCTGATGGATCCTCTAGAGGGAAAGAACTGTTTGTGGAAGAAACGGGTATTGCCCGAATTCCATGCGTCTGATGGTCGAGGCCGATAGCCTGTAAAAGCAGCTCTGCCAGTAGTTCGGCCCCTATAGTGACCAGATCTCCCCGAAAAACGCTGGGTTCTAAACACCCTGCGAAGGGACGATTGTGCCTTATTGATGGAGGTAAACATGGAATTGTGTTTATTCAGGTCATGTATGAACCTGTCCCCAAAAAACAGTCCATTAGACTCTGGACCAAGTTCTTTGGTGTCTAATTCTGCCAGTTTGGCATCAATTTTATATAACACGGCTTTACGCCGTTCGATTGAAATAGCTACATTGGCATTGCCTAACAGGCATAACGCTCTTTGTGCCCATTCATGCACTATGTGTGCATCGAAGTTGCCACCTGCTAGCTTTTAGTCAGCAATTATAAAGATCTGGATAAGCGTGCCCGAAATATCCATCAGCTTGTCTTGTGTGGTTTTTAAGCCTATTTTGGGGATCTTCACCCATTTTAGTTAGAAAGGTGACCAGGAGTGGGTCAAGTTCAGGGCTGAGAGCCACCTTAACAGGGATTCTAGGCTATGGACATTCCACCCTCAATTTAGCCCTAACCTCCTTTTCTAGTGGTTTACAAAACCATAATCTGCAGTATTTGGCAATGTGATCAGGAGGTGTTAATTCAGCTGCACGAGGGTGTCTGATACAGTGTGGGTCAAAAAGAGGACAACCATTGCTATCCAGTAGGATATCGTCCTTAGTATTATCCAAATTAGTATTAGTCATGGGATCAGTGTCCTTTAAGAACTGGAGAAAAATAATAAGGTTGAGAGGTTAAGAACTGGAGAAGAATAGTAAGGCAGAGAGGTTGACCCTCAGAAGCAAGGCAAGAGGGGGTCACCCTCAAGTAGACACAAAGCTGTTTATATAAAGAGGGGCAAGCTGAAAGAAAAAACAAATAGATTAAAGTAAGCAAGGTGTTCACTAAAGGAACTGTAATAACAAATAATATATTCCAGCAGGGAGCATAAATCAATATCGAAAAAATACTTACTTTTGATAGGGATGTAATTCCGAGCGGGCATGGAGAGCACAAAGCGGAGAGTCGTCAAACGCAAACTGCAGAATAAAAGATGGCCGCTGGCAAGAAGGAGGGAGGTGGGTTTGCGCGTCTATCTAATGACGCGAACAAAGGCGTTCAGATTAGATCACGGGTGTGACCATGTCGGGCCGCAGCCACAGCAGTGGCGCGGCATGATAAAGACTCGGACAAAAACCACACTAGTAAGGTGCAAAGCCAGATAAATTAGACAGATTAAGGAAAATCACAGGGAAGGGACTGGACAGTGGGTTGACCTGAGAAAGGTAGGTGTCATGAAGGGCAGAGATAAAATAAACACATATTACTTCATGAAACAACAGAAAATGAGAAATAATAAAATAAAAGGAGTAAACATATCAAAGAAACAAAGATAATGCAGGTTAATAATATATATAGAGCTATCATTGGAATAGACTCACCTGGGAGGCAAGCAGCAAAGAAAGAGGAGTAGGGGGAGTGTCACAGACTAATATGTTCTAAGATGTGTCCTGATTGGTTGATTTTCTCTACATTTTTAACTATATTTTTGCTGCTGGTAGGTTTAGTAAAGAAGGTTAAAGCAAATATGAAGCCTCCTGTCTTGCCATAAAATTGTAACACATGGTATCGTTCTGCTGTTAACCCCTTAAAACCGGAGGACGTACAATTACGCCCTCTAATAGGCGGCTCTAAACGCCACCGGGCGTAATTGTACGCCCTCCGGTTTTTGTTAACTTACCCGGTCGCCGGCGGTCCCACGCCGGCGATCGCGGTGGGGGGGACTCCCAGGGAGCCCCCCGATGCACATCCGTCCTCGTTGAAGCCCCCCGGCCATGTGAGAGTGGGGTCCTAGCGAGGACCCCACAATGGCATGGCCGGGGATAGCTGGCTTCTGTATTGCCGGCAGGGGGGCTGCCTGTAATTACAGGTGGTCCCCCTGCTGGCTGAAAATAAAATAAAAATAAGTTAATGGTGTAAAAAAAAATAATTATATATACTTAGATCATATGTATATATTATATATATATGATCTAAGTATATATATACACATATACATACACACACGTACACCGTCTAGGTGTATTTTACTATTAATATATATATAATTATATATATATATATATATTAATATCAAATTACACGTAGACTGATACTGATTAAATATATATATAATTATTGTTATATATATATTTATATATAATATAAAAAAAATAAAATGTAAATACGTTAAAAAATAAAATTAAAAAAATAATTAAAAATAAATAATTAAAAATATATAGATGTGTGTTATTTCGTTCTAACTGTTTTGTGAAATTAATATATATATATATATATATCAAAATACACGTAGAACGAAATAATATATCTATATACATAAATATGTCACATTATATATCACTATATATATACCTATATATAAATAAAAATATTTAAAAAAATTATATAGTGCATATATATACACATACGTATATATATACATATATTAATTCACTTATATATTTATATATGTTTTACATAATTAGGTATCTTAATTACAATTAGCAGGACCTGCCTGACAACCCATGCCGAAAGTAAAGGGAATTTAATTTGCTAGCACTATATTTAACCCTATAACTTTTCGAGACACCATAAAACCTGTACATGGGGGGTACTGTTCTACTCGGGAGACTTCGCTGAACACAAATATTAGTGTTTAAAAACAGTAAAATGTATTACAACGATGATATCGCCAGTAAAAGTGAAGTTTTTTGCATTTTCACGCACAAACAGCATTACACGGTCAATATTATTGCACAAACAGCATTACACGGACAATATTATTGCTGTGATACTTTTACTGTTTTGAAACACAAATATTTGTGTTCAGCGAAGTCTCCCGAGTACAACAGTACCCCTCATGTACAGGTTTTATGGTGTTTTCAAAAGTTACAGCGCCAAATATAAGGCTTGCGTTTCAGTTTTTTCACATTAAAATTCGCCAGATTGGTTACGTTGCCTTTGAGACCCTATGGTAGCCCAAGAATGAAAATTACCCCTATGATGGCATACCATTTGCAATAGTAGACAACCCAAGGTATTGCAAACAGGGTATGTCCAGTCTTTTTTAGTAGCCACTTAGTCACAAACACTGGCCAAAATTGGCATTTTTTGCATTTTTCACACACAAACAAATACTAACGCTAACTTTGGCCAGTGTTTGTGACCAAATGGCTACTAAAAAAGACTGGACATACCCCATTTGCAATACCTTGGGTTGTCTACTATTGCAAATGGTATGCCATTATGGGTGTAAATTTCATTCCCGGGCTACTATACAGTCTCAAAGGCAACGTAACCAATCTGGCGAATTTCAATTTCAAATGTAACGTGCTATATTTGACCCTGTAACTTCCCAAAACGCCATAAAACCTGTACATAGGGGGTACTGTCTTACACGTGAGACTTTACTAAATACAAATATGTGTATTTTATTGCAGTAAAATCAAACAGTATTATGACACTGACCTTTAAAATGCAATTTAGAACTAAAAAAATCAAAAAAATCGTATTTTCTCCCATTTTTTTCATATTAAATTATGTTTCATAGCTAAATATTTGATATTAAATGAAAGCCCTGTTTCCCCTGAATAAAATGATATAT